TTTTAAATGCATAATATTATTTTCTATAATGCATAATAATATTCAAAATACAATAAAAAAGTTTTAAGTCAAATTTTAGAAAATCCTTAAAAGGTTTCTAAAATTAATAATCTTTAAAAATAATAACAATTTAAATTTGAAAATTAGTTATTAATATATAATCTAAAATTCCATACTAAAAAAATTCTAAAAATTAACAATTCAATTTCTAAATGAAACCTAAAATAATTTAAAATTCCAATCCTAATATAAAACTAAATTTCTAAATCCAAAACTAACAAATCCAATACCTTTCACAATAATCTAAATCTAGAAATCCTAATTTTCTAATTTTAAAACTAGCAAACTCCTAACTCTAAAACTATAATAATACAAATCTATACATAAATCTAACAATGAAATTAAAAAACATACCTTTGAAGAGATATGAATGATAGGAATGAAGACTTTTTAAGTAAGAGGAAATGAGATGTGAATGAGTGAGAGAAGAGTTTTTAAGTAAGAGGAAATGAGAGATGTTTGAGCATAGCTCAAACATGCAATCACTTATATATATATTTATACCGTCGCAATTTCCTAGCAAATCCCTCGCAAAAGTTTTGAAAATTTTCGGTAAAATTTTTGAAATTTCAGCCAAAACGTTGAAGCGCGAAAAACTGAAAATGTTTGCGAGGGAATTGCTATGGTCCCTCGCAATTCCCTCGCAAGACTCTTGATTTAGGGTTTAGTTTTGCGAGGGAATTACTAGTATCCCTCGCAAATCCCTCGCAATGTTTTGAAATATTTGCCAAAAATTTTAAAATTTCCGCCAAAAAATTGAACCGCGAAAAAACTGAAAATATTTGCGAAAGAATTGCGAGGCATCATAGCAAATCCCTCGCAAATGGTTTAGGGTATAGGGTTTAGGGATTCATAAGTGGTTTCCACTTTTGCGAGGGAATTGCTATGGTCTCTTGATTTAGGGTTTAGTTTTGCGAGGGAATTACTAGTATCCCTCGCAAATCCCTCGCAAAATAGAATCAATTTGAAAAAAAAAACAACAAAACACTACTAAAAATCATTCGGATTCATTTTTTTGAATCATTAGGAAGTTAATTATCTACATTAGAATCTACTTTCTTATCATATACTTCGAATTCGTCCGAATGTGCATTTTTCTCAAATACATCAATGATGATCTTATGTTTTTATATAATATGAATCAATGTTTATGACATTTTCAAAATAAAATGTTAATATTGAAACCTATACAACATTTTTTTATGCATCACCATATATTCAACTTGTCTGATTATATGGTCTCTTAGATTCATATTTATAAATAAAAATCAAAGATCGCAAAACACTTTTATGTATTTTAGGGTTTAGGGTAAAGATTTGCGAGGTATGTGCGGGAGATTTGCGACAGAGTATATTGTTCCTCGCAAAGTACTCGTAAGTCGCTCGCAATTTTGCGAGGAAACTTTCCCTCGCAAAATTTGCGACGGAAGTGCGACGCGCGTCTTTTTCGTAGCAAATTACTTGCAATTCCCTCGCAAATTTGCGAGGAAACGTTCCCTCGCAAAATTTGCGACGGAAGTGCGACGCGCGTCTTTTTCGTAGCAAATTACTTGCAATTCCCTCGCAAATTTGCGAGGAAACGTTCCCTCGCAAAATTTGCGACGGAAGTGCGACGCGCGTCCTTTTCGTAGCAAATTACTTGCAATTCCCTCGCAAATTTGCGAGGGATGGTTTCCCTCGCAAAGTTGCCTCGCAAAACGACTGTTTTCTTGTAGTAATAAGGCGATAAGCTTACAGTGTAAAAATACTTCAATTACTAAGTGGTTAACATATTAATTTAAACGTAAATATTAGTTGCTCTGGTCGAATTTCTTTTTAACAAAAATTGGCACAAAATTAATTTTGTGTGTCGAAAAGTATAGCAATAATGCCCGAAATATTATTTTCATTGATACCAAACTGCCTAGTTTGATATAAATTTATATATTAAAAGGAAAATTAAAAGGGGAAACGAAAAACGGAACAAATCATTGGAGAGGATCGGTCAAAGAGGAATAATTAAGCTCTTTCTTTTTAACAAATTTTATTGTCATTCACTTTTATATTTGTCTTTTGTTGGGTACTGTTGAACGAATGTTTCTTTACTTCCATCACAAGACAAATAAATAACTAAAAACGTCGTAAGTGTTTCTTTATATTTTCAACTGTCGACTAGAAAGAAAATATCATAGTTACTTTACTCCAAATTTATAGGCATATGAAATTATGAGTAAACTTGCTTGGCCACAGAAAACACGTACATGTTATATATATTATGATGGAATTTCGTCAGCTATTCTTTTTTTTTTTTGTTAAAAAAAAAAGAAAGGAGATATTAGACGGCCTTCTTCAGCTATTCAATTCTTTTCTTCCAAATTTCTATATATATAATTAATAGAGCTACGCGCAAAGAAACTTTCTTTATATACAAAATAAAAACTTTATTTTCTGATTTCTTATGTGAAAACTGAAAGCTAATGAAGAGACTAAAGTAAGAAACTGTAGTATAACCCTAAACTAAGTGGGTTTGAAATGAGGAAACTTCAGAGATTTTAAAAAGAAATGGCATAACAGTATAGCTAAGTTTCATTCTCATTTTCTTGATCTTCACTATAACTAGTCACTGGATTACAAAAAATAATAATTGATTTAGTAAGTGAAAACCTAAATAATGAAAGTTAACCTTTATAAAAAAATTGATAATGAAAGTAAACTATAAACCTGACGTAATCAAAAACATTAGATGATAATGTTATAGATTTTAAATAGTGATTCACTAATAAGAAAATGGAAGTAATTGCTCGAAATAAGGTTTAGCATAATATCTGCTAGATGTTCTTTGATTTAACGCTACAATAAATTGATTGCAATCTCCTCAAAACATTATATGTTCATAACCGGCCGGTATAGCATTTGATCTTGTTGTGTGCACATCAATGCCCAGGTTGTCCGACGGTTATGAGATATGGTTCTAGTCCCCAAGATAGAACAAGAAACAAAAATAAAAAGTTTTTATGTAATTAATTATGGCAAGTTTCTTTGCTAAGTTTTGTTGGACGTTTTAAATTTCGTTGCTGATTTTTCTTTATGTTGCGTTTACGTTTAACTGATGTATATATTCATCTAAACGTGCTTACAATTTTAAATAAATTTATTTTGTAGTAAACTTAAAGGACACATGCAAAATTTTCATAACTTTAAATTAAATGAATGACTGAAATTAAAATTTACACCATTTTTCTTTACACACTCGAGACTCGCTCGAGAGTCGAGACTAAAATTTTGGTACACTCAAACGGGCTAAACCCATAAAGCATCTTTTTCTGGGCCGAACTCAAAATATATCGCTGTTCGATACGTGCCTTCAGCCCAATATGTGTCTTGCATGTTTAGAAACAAATAGTGAATTTTAATCGAATTACTTTCTCTCATCGCGGCATTTTTTTTTTTCCTCATTTTGTTTGATAAATGGATTTAAGTCGTCGAAGTTGGTTAACCGAAATTGTAACGTAAGATTGAACCGGATTTGGATTACTCGTTACATTTTTTCGTATCCTAGTAAACTTGAACGGATATTGTTTCTACTACATAAAAGTAGATTTCAAAATTTTATCTCTTGGAGTTAAAACATTAACTGCGTTTTTCTTCTTCTTCTAGAAACCACATCCTCGTATTTTATAAGAAACGAAAGAATAAGAATCCGACAATATTAGGAATGTTGTCATTTGGACCCAATTTCATACATTTGCAATTACAAGGTGGGTGACTCATCAAGATTTATGAATCTTCCACAGATAATAGCTAGAAGGGCTTTTAGCCTAATATTTATACTACTACAGAATATTAAAACAAACAAACAAACCGATTATTATGCACATAAAAATTAAATATTCAGCCTTTTTAATGAATTCTCAACCAAAACCATATCAAGTCATATCATACATTATCCTCCATACACGTGGTAACATACATAAGTATCTTAAATAGTTTTATTTAGCAAATAATTTTATTATAATCATATTTGATCACCATGATCATGTTGGGCCATCCAAGCCATGACTTTAGTAATGTGAACACAATATCATACGGAACTAAACACAGTACTGTTCATTTCATACAACTAAAATACAACTATTTCCTACATATTTTCTCAAGTGTCCAATAACTGAGAAACAAATGGTTTGAGATACAAAATTCGATAACAATTTTGTCGATTTGTTTCTCAAACTAAGTTTATTCGGATTTCGCCGATAGAAGTTATCGAATTTCTCAAACTAAGTTTATCAAAATATATAAACACTCAAAAATCATAAGAATATATCCACAAATAATAGAATTAGACATAGATTTACTGCATTCAAATCAAGGGACATTAAAGAATCTCCTGGGCCCAACTGGGTTATATTTTCAATAAAATTTAGCAAAAAAAGTTGACAATCAACTAATCATCACCATTATTGGCTATAATCATTAGTTCATTACATACGCATACACATAGCCATGATGTCTACCTATGTTTGAAACTTCGAATTCTGAAACTACGTATCTTCTTCTTTCCTTAACATATCATCTTCTAGTACTTTTAATGTCTCGTGATCTTAACAAATTAGAAAATAAATGGATTAATATCTATGATAAAAGAGTTTTGCATTTATACTCAGATACTCTTCTAATACCTAAACAAAACTAAAATGAAAATGGAATTGCACACCCCCTAAATTCAGTACTATACCCATTGAGTATATGAATTATGCATATTGTGAGTGAAAGAGATAGATAGATACGATACACTTTTTTTTTTTGTTTTTTTTAATTGGACAAAAGGAATCAGATTTTGATCTCTAAATCGAACGGTCAAGATCGGATACAATTATTTCAGGAGATTAAGATCCCACGTGCTTAAAAATTCTCTGTCAGTCTCTTTGTCTATAAAATCCTCGGCCCACTCTTGTTTTGATAGTACACTCAATAGAAAGACACAGAAAGGAAAAAAGGACCAACAAAACAAAACAAAACAAAACCTTCCATTTCAAGAAAGCATCGTCTTTGTGTGTCCGAAAAATGGAAGATCTAGGCCATGAGTACCAGAATTACTGGGAAACCACAATGTTCTTCCAGAATCAAGAACTCGAATTTGACAGGTACTTCCAGAATCTTGGTCAATATCTTTCCTTCTTTTTTTTGCTTCTTTTTTCTTCTTTATCTTCTTTAGTTGGTAATTAATGAAATTGTTTTAACTGATAAAATTGTAGTTGGCCGATGGAAGAAGCGTTTTCGGGTTCCGGCGACTCGAGTTCGCCGGATGGAGCAGCAACGTCGCCGGCATCTTCGAAGAACGTTGTATCTGAGAGAAACAGACGACAAAAGCTTAATCAGAGACTTTTTGCTCTCCGATCAGTCGTTCCCAATATAAGCAAGGTGTGGTTTTATTCGATTAATGGTTTCTCTTATTAGTTTAATCAACTGTCTCTTTTAATTTAATTTGTTATTCAAATAATTTAGTAATAAAATTTCGTCACCAGCAATTTTTGTTTTGGTCAACAGAAATTAAATAATCGAATAAACTTTTCTCTTCTTTCTTTTGAAAAGAAATAAAACTATACAAATACAATCTGGTTAAACCAAATCCAACCAACATTAAACAAAAAGGCAAACCAAATTTTTGATACTCTAAATCCATACTAAAATGTATTTTGGTCCCCTAATTACCATAATAGCATATATTTGTATACGTGTGATATGATTTGATTAGGATTGGGTTTAACTAAAATATTACTATCTAATTTTAGTTGGACAAGGCATCTGTCATCAAAGATTCAATCGATTATATGCAAGAGCTTATTGATCAAGAGAAGAGGCTAGAAGCAGAGATCAGAGAGCTAGAATCACGATCAATAATACTAGAAAATCCGATAAGAGATTACGATTGCGCCAATAATTTTGGGGAAAATCAGCTGCAAGATTTCTCAGACAATAATGGCATGAGATCAAAAAAGTTCAAGCATATGGATTACGATACTAGAGTACAACACTACCCCATTGAAGTTCTCGAAGTACGTAATATGCATTATTTGGTAGTACATTTAAAAATACATTTCTCTTTGGGTAAAGTTATTTATTCCAAATTGCTTTTTATAAAAATGAAAAAACAAAACAGATGAAGGTGACATGGATGGGAGAGAAGACAGTAGTGGTATGCATAACATGTAGCAAGAAAAGAGAGACAATGTTGCAGCTTTGTAAAGTGTTGGAGTCTTTGAATCTCAACATTCTCACTACTAACTTCTCTTCATTCACCTCTCGTCTCTCCACCACTCTCTTCGTCCAGGTCACACTCTCTCTCTCTCTCATATTTTTATATGTATATCTTATTTGGCAATGTGATTACTAGTACAAACTACAAGATTCTAAATGCATTTAGAGAAAGATATACGTGCCTTTGTTTGGTTTGATGCTCATTTTGCAGTGATCGAGCGAAATTATAAAATGTTAACGAAAAGATATGATAATATAGTTTAATTAGAAGATTCTGTATAATAAACAATTTTAGATTAAAGTTTTCTTACAAAAAAAAAACTTTAATATATTAAAGTTTTCTTACAAAAAAAAAAAAAAAAAAAAAAAAAATTTAGATTAATTGAAATTAGCTATAAAATTAGTTTTAGGAACTTGTCGGACTATAAAACACACCAACCAAATATATTTGTCCATTTTTATTTTGTCGCAACTATTCAGACTTTTATATACCAAATTTAAATCTTACTATTTTCTTTTGTTTTTTGTTATTTTGGGAGAAAAATTGTCGTCTGACGGCACGTAGACAAATCCTCTAGTGGACATCAATTAATTATATGAATAAAAATCATACGACTTAGTGCTTTAGTAAAGTGGATTGTTCTTTTTTTTGGTTAAAGGAAAAATATGTTATCCTTATTCATTATACAATAGTCCAAAAATGTAAAATCACTATCAAATTTAAAAGGGTAACCTTTAGACGGACCCATTTAATTACTACTTTGTTCCCACCTGTCTCCATTTAGTGGACCCTAATTCACATTACACCTTAAGTATTTATATTACTCCATAACCTAATCAATCAATTAAAGCTCCAATTATTGAGGTGGCCTCGAGCCCATCACATTTTTTTTTCGATTTTCGCCTTGACTTTTTTTGAGGGGGTTAGATTCTCTCAAAAGTTAAATGTCATATTCCATAAAAAAATTAGGATTAACTTAATCAAAAAATTAGTGTATGAAATCTCAAGTGCCTCGTGTCCCATAAAGTGCCGTCCAAGCATAGTAGCACTAGAAAAACGTGGCTAATTTATAACCTCACGCGGTTCAACGTTTGTCTCTTTGACACTTTTAGCACGTGACCTTTCCCTCACTACACCTTACTTTAATTCTTTACTCAAATCAACAATAAGCTAAAATAGACTATAGCCAATTAGCAAGTTTTATTTGTGTTATATCCAGAAATTTTGTTGTTTATTTCAAATGAGATGATTGAAACGTATAACGTAAAATTAGAAGTATATGGTTCATAAGGTCTTCACTCTTCATTATACTAATCATTTTGGTACATTTTTATTTACTCCAAATGATATCCATAGAAGGTCTTCATAGTAGACATTAAGGTTTGATCCTTTATAATATAATGCAGATTTGTTGAGTTATTATTTTTGTTATACTTTCAAAAAAATTCCTTTCTTCATTTCTCTATCTATCTATTTTCTTATCATCAAATACTAGGACTTTGGTGTAAAAAAATCTAATTTCAAAAATACTAGTTTCGTGAACTAACATTCTATTTTTTAAAAAACAGTAATTATAATAAAAAGCTATACGTTGGAAATTTTTTATGACAAACAAATACGATTATTTCTTGCCTAACAAAAGAATATACTATTATGTTATTTTTCTTTGACAGAAAAAGATTTGCCCACCTTTATAACACTTTCTTAATCAAATTTTATATAATCAGACGCTAAAAATACAGTGAGGTGTAGACCAGTGGAGTCATGGAGAGTTGGTGAAATCTTACTCCAATCATTTATCAAATAAAAAGTCGATCACTTCATTTTCAAACCTGTCTTTATCTGTCCTTTTAAAGATTATACAAAAACATTAAACAATGATTTTATCCACGAATCTCATTTTCCACGGGAAATAGTTATAGTAGTAATGCTTGTAGGTGTATACACGAATTTATCCTAATTGAAATAATATATCATTATTTAACTTTAGTTTATATTTGTGAGAGATGTATTAATTTATATTTAATTAATTGTGGTGAGATGTTGAATTTGCAGGCGGATGAAGCAGAAAGCAGTGCAGTAGAGGCCAAGATACAAATGGCCATCGCAGCTTATAATGATCCAAATTGTCTTATCAGCTTCTAATTTACTTCTTTTTTACTTAAATCCGTTTTATGCAATATATGTGAGGGTTTATTTGTTTGAGCTACAAAACATCTGTTGGTGTATTATAATAAGTTTTTAAAAAATGTAAGTTCATTCTAATAATCTCAAAACTTATATTTCTAAAAAAACCATTTAAATTAATTGATAATATCCAAACTGAGCATCAAACACACAAAGTAAAAGGGTTATAAAAGCAAATATGACTTTTTAATTTAATTTAATTTTATCTTGATTGATGAACAGAAACCAAATGCATATTGTAAGTTGTAAATAGAGAGATTAGCCTATTGCTTCTATTTGATCTGTAAAGTTATAGGCAACAATTGTTTAGTATACTCATAAAAGTGACACTGTGACAGTATAGTTACCAATCGTACAAATTAAAAGTTACTCATAAAACTATATAGTTATCAATCATACTCTTTATTAAAAAGCCAGTTACAGTATTTGGATTTTGGAAAAAGGAATGATATAAAAAAAAGATCATAAGAAACGAAATGTATTAAAAACAGAGCTAAAGTTCCATTTAAAAAAAATCCCCAGTTTTATTTTTTATGGGATTTTATCTGAAGTTTAAATAACACATACAAACTGAAGAATACAAAAGCTACATTAGGTGTTCTTAGACTAAGTTCCAAAAGAATCTAACAATACCAAAACTTCTGCAAAGGATTTTTTTTCTCTAATATATATTGTTACCTTTTGTCCTTGATCTCTGCTATTGGAACATACACTACTGAGTCTTCTTCAGTTAAAGAAGAAGAAGACTTCCCTAACTTTTTCCGGCCTTTCGGTGTTTTAAATCTCTCAAGCCTCTGCGTCACGTCCACTAACTTGTTTTCTGTTCTACAAAGCATCTCCATTACTGCTTCAAATTCTTCCTCTTCCGTCATCTTTCTCTCCGTCTCCTTCTCCTCTACAGCTGTCTTTAAGCTCATTTCGTTGCTTAGCTCTTCATGTGACTGAAACACAATAAGAACACATAACTTTTAAACTCTACAATTGTCCAAAACCACTGGTCAATGCAAGTTCATGGAAGCAGTACTTAATCATGAGTTCTTTAATATAGAGTTGTTCTATAAACTGATTTTGCCAAAACGGCTTATTTTAGTTTTACCTCTTCCGTCATCTTGCTCTCTGTCTCTTTCTCCTCTACAGCTGTCTTTAAGCTCGTTTCACTGCTTAGCTCTTCATGCGGCTGAACACAATAAGAAAAATAACTTTAAAAATCTAAAATTGTTTACTTAATCGTGGTTTTAAATAATGGACATTTTGGCGGAACGGCTTATCTATATCTTACCTCTTCCATCATCTTGCTCTCTGTCTCCTTCTCCTCTACCGCTGTCTTTAAGATCATTTCGCTGCTTAGCTCTTCATGTGGCTGAACACAATAAGAAAAAATAACTTAGAAAATCTAAAATTGTTTAAAACCACTGGCAAGGGATCAAGGCAATTTTAACTTTGAAAATCTAAAATTGTTTACTTAATCATTGTTTTTTAATAATGGACATTTTTGTGAAACGGCTTATTTATATCTCACCTCTTCCGTCATCTTGCTCTCTGTCTCCTTCTCCTCAACAGCCGTCTTTAAGCTCATTTCGCTGCTTAGCTCTTCATGTGGCTGAACACAACAAGAATAAATAACTTTAAAAATCTAAAATTGTCCAAAAACACTGGTGAAGGCAAGTTCTTGGAAGCAGTACTGATCTTTTAGTAATAGATATGTTCTATAAACTCATTTTGGAGAAATGGCTAATTTCTATCTTACCACTAGAGCGAAAGAAGAGTCGTTTTGTTCCAGATAATGTTGACTATCATCTGTGGGTGAAGGAAAGGAGACATTGGCCTGTTGAATTTCCTCCTGGTTGTTAGTACAGGGAGAGAGAATTTTCTGATTCGTAGCGGAATCACTAAATCCGGGTGGAACTGTCTCATCCAAAGTATCTTGAACTTCATTTGTTTCAGTGTTGTTCTCCATGACTGCTTCTGGTCCAGATTCTCCTCCAGAGACTGTCTTCGAATCCCCAGGTTGTTTCACGCTCCCAGTCTATCATATAAAAACAATGGCCGCCAAATGATCAGTCTCCTTGTAAGAAGTTTAGTCTCTGAAGGCATCCAGACAATGTTCATATGTGTGAATGAAGCAAGTAATAGCGATTTACCTTCCTATTCCTCAGTGCCATATACCGTGTATTTTTGAACCATTTATTGACCTGTAAAAAACGATATTTAAGCACGCGTAGAACCAAAATAAAACTAAGAAACCCAAATGTTCATTAGCTGTATAAATGAGTTTCATATGCCTCCATTGATCTAAGAAACATTCGCAAGATAACTTTTTTTTGGCTGCACTGTTACCTTCTCTGGATCAAGACTCAGCTCTTTTGAAAGACGATCCCTCACAGCTTTTGTAGGAAGCTCAGTCTCTGCAAATACTTGACGTAGCTTCTGGTACATTTATGCAAACAATTTAAAACTTAGTAATGGGTGTTTTCTCTTCTTTTTTCTTTTCTTATGGTAAACTACACATATATAAGATACTAAAACCGGGAAGAAGTAATTGCAAACCTCAACTGCATTTCTTGGGAGTCTGAACATCGGCCTTCGACCTCCTTTATTTTCCACAGAGACAGAATCTCTCTCACTCTGTTCCAGTGTTTCTACAACATCTTGATCTTTCTTACTGCTTTCACACATAGTTACAAGTGTGCTTCCTGCATCAGATTCCCTTTTTCTCTTCCTTCTGTCATTCGGACCCCAGTCTTCATCTTCACTACCTTGTTCTTGCAAAACTGCATCCTTTCCAAACATTTCCTGATACAAAAATAAAAAATCAAAAATTCACCACCAAAAAAATCATCAATAACAAATTGAAGCAGATAAACATTTAAGGGTTCTTGAAATCCATGGATGTGGTACGCACATAGTACAACTTTGTATAGTCAACAGTCCTTCGCTGTCTTGGCCCACAAACAGTTTCTTCATTACTTGTTTCACATTGTTCCAACATATTGCTGAGTCTATGGCCTTCCCATGATCCCGTTGAAAGGGCAACACCATCAGAAGATAAGCTCAAACTGGTTGAAATGCTTTCACCATCATTATCACCACCACCATCACCACTAACGTTGCTGCTATTTCCTCCACCGGTTTCCCTCATTTCAGGGTCATAATCATCATCCTTGGAGTCATCCGAAGGCCAATCTGCTTCATTGTTAAGTGTAGCTTCAGATCCAATAGGAAGACTAGCTTCTTCATTGAAGATATCCTTATCCATAAACAAAAAAAAATAACCAAGAAAAGTTTCAAAACTAGAAGAGTAAAGCAGATCTCTGATGGTGAAGTGTTTCTATCTTGCGTTCAAACAAAATGAAACACAATGGTATTTGCCAAAGGTTTACCTGCCAGTTGCTGTCCACAGGGAAATGGGTACCAATTTGCGCATTCATTGTATCGATGATTTCCATTTTGCAATCACAAAATTTGCAAAACCAGCCCAGATCTCCGGGAGGTACTGTTGATATTATTAAGAGCAATATGATTTGAGGAAAAAAATCAGGTGGAGAAGCCACACTGTATAAACTCTCTAAGACAACATATATGTATATGCAATAGATAGCCAGAGCTTACTGCTTTCTGTTTCCAAAGGAGGGTCAAGGCACTTCTGGTGAAATGCTCGATTACACGTTCCATCACAAAGTATTATATCATTGTCTGGAAAAGCTTCTCGAGAATTACATACCGCACAAAATATCTGCAGAAGGTAAAACCCCATCAGGCAATTCTCCAGTGTAATTTCCAGTATCGATCATAAAGATATGAATTAAAAAAATAGAGATGGTGCGTGCGGATAAACAGAGATTTGCTTACATGGTCATGATGAATAGATCCATCTGGAGCTATCACTTTCTCTTCCATGCTTCCCACAGAACTAAGCAGATCCAGCTGGCGAATGGCGTCGCGTAGTCCAAGCTTGCAGTTTAAGATCTCTTTCCGGGCTCTCTCAAGCTCCTTGTCTGGTCTTATCTTTTCCCGGCTGAAGAAAACATGAAAATACAAGAGTCAAACCACATAATTGTTTGCAGCTAAAGAAGGCCACAATTGTTTCTTTGCGTTCGCGTTTGCATTTGTTTTCACATTTCCATTTTAAAATTTACAAATGATGATTAGTATACTATAAGCAAGTAATCGCAAATGCAAAGTTCGTCTTTTTTACATTTGAAGCAATCGTGGTCTAAGGAGAACATAGGAAACTACAAATTCAATTTGGAAACAGAAAAAAAGGTTGAATACGCGTAAAACAAATCTGTGGACCGAACTATTGACAGCTATAAACTAAATAAAACTCATTCGTAACGCATAATCACCATTCTTTTGGTAATATATCCGAGGAAATAGTAAAATTGTAACACTTTTTCCATATAAGAAACAGTGAGTCAATAGAGAAGAAATTCAAAATTTTGTACCTCTGACCTTTCCAACCTTCAGTTGCGTATGCATCGATAAGATTCTGCTGCATCTTCATCTTAATGAGCAAATACCTTGTCCGCCTCTGCAACCTTAACGAATCATCTACCTCGACCTTATTATCCTTTTGCTGTCTCTTACTTTTCCTCTTCCTTGTTTTCTTAACCTTCTCCTCCTCCATTTCCTCACAACGAACCCATCCTCGAGAATACTTCTTGTTTCTGGATTTCGAACAGATTTCTTCTTCTGTTTTACGCTTATTCGGCTTAGAGTTTCTCTTATTTGGTACTTCTTTACCTTTCTTCACAAATGATGAGAGTAAAGTAGACTCAATTCTCTCAACTGAAACACAAGCCTTTTCAGTTTCTTGATTGATTCTCCCCTTTGTTTCACTCTCCTCCATATCGAGTTCCCCGATCACCGAGACTTAAATTCCTCTCAGCAGATCATAATATATAAGATCTTACCCTGAAATATTCAAAACCCTACCCTAAATCAGTTTCTTCACATTTACACCAATGAACTATGATTCTTAATTTCCCATTAAATGATATCCCACAGAGAAAAGGACTGAATCTAGTCTTACACAATTTAAGAAACAACACACAGGTATACACATTAAAGGCACTACCAAATTCAGACATGTTTTTGACTTTTAATTGAAAAGATTACAGATTTGTGATTGAAGACGACACTCTGAGACAAAGATAAGGTAGCAGATCGAACATTAGACTAATCAAACACACAACACTAATCTCTTCACATCTCAATCAAGCTCGTGACACAAAACATAAACAAATAAATGGAAAGGTAAATTCTGTAACTAAATCTGAGCAAACGGAATCGTAATTTTGATTCATCGGAAGAAGCCAACAACAGGAAATTGAGAAAGCTTAAGTAAAGCAAAACCTGGAAGAGAGTAAGGATTGAGGAATTGAGGAAGATGAAGGTAAAGTGAAGATCTTTCCGACGAGGGTTAATGGTGGGTACTTAAATATTAGTACGGCGGGATTTGAGTCACCGGCGGCGACTTGACAGGGTGCTTTCAACGGTCGGGTTTACGTCACTCTCCGTTCTTCTTTAGGTACTTTACTTTGGCAATGGTAATGCTCATCAACTCTTATTTATTTTCAATTTAAGTCCCTGTATTTAGACAGATTTTTTCAGATTGTATCTAAGTTTTCCTTGTACATTCTTAGCCGAATTAAGTTTCCTTTTCGGTCACGAATTGATATTCATTTCCTTTTTAAAGTCTTCTTGAAATATAATTGGAGTTCTTGTGTTGTTTACTCTCAGCCCAGTTAAAACGGTTATCGGGCCGAATCATCAACATAAGCCCATTATGTGAATAAAGTTTTTAAGAAATTGGGGTCCAGACTCCAGAGAGATGAATCAAATTTGAGGTGGGTCGAGTATTTGTGGTCGCCGCACAAAAGCTATAGTGAGTAGGTTCTTGGATATTTTAACGTGTTAGAAAAATCAATTTAGGTCGGTTTGGTCTGGTCTATATATAAAATGAATCTGTCGTCGGCCGGGAATGCCAAACTCGTCAAGTCAAGGTGGTCGGTAAATACCTAAATTCTATAACCTATAATTGAATCAGGTCTGGACAAAATTCAGATTAGGTTTAATACAGACAAGATCTCAGATTAGCCTATTGCTGTGTTCATATTTTACATCCTATCTAAAATTAATCTTGATCTTTGACAATGAAAAAAAGATAAGAGATTATGTTGAAAGATGAAAGATTAAAGATAACTTTTAGGAATTTCTTGTACCAACATATATATTACCTAAAAATGTTTAAACTGATTCTTCTTCTTACATTTTATTTTTGTGTGCCACTTGCCTATTCGTAATATAGGAATGTTTAATAGATCTCACATGATTAAGGAAGAGATCAAGATATGGCCTTGGCAGCTTGGCTTGAATCATGCACCACATGGGTGGAAGTGAGATAAGAACAAAAGCTAGCCCATAAATATTTTTCACATGTTATTCACATTAAGTTTGAAATAATCACCGACTATAAATTTGTGGTGTCGAGTTTGTTGATTGCAAGAAAACAAAATTATAATTTATGTCTCGATATTAAATGGGATGCATTACTCGGAAATGTCATCTTATATATTGACATGTGGGGTTAAGTTTATTATTCTTTTTTGATATGGGAGGGTCCGAAGAATATATGAAAGTCATGTAGCTTTGCAAAATTATTGTTATCTATTTTATCCCTTCAAATCAAAATGATGGGCTATAGAGACAAACCGCGAAAATATTGTCTGCTAATGAAATAACATTTCAAAGCTATAATAATTTTGATTAGTATCTTTTAAGACTATTTCCTCAAACTAATGTCACCATTTACACCCTATGTTACCTACAGATGTTGTGACAGGTTCGATGGCCTAATCTGATCTAATTCTACCAAGCTTAATATTAAATAATTTTGATTGTGTTTGCCTTGTAGAAAACATAGCCTCGTTGTTCACTCACAGCTGAGTCTATTGTAATCAAAGCCTAGTTACTAAGATTCAAAGCCATTCCGATTCAATTGGCAATGATTCTTTTAAACTTTTGAAAATGTACGCGTAGGCTGTAGATTTTGTTTCGTCGATCCATCACAATATCTAGTTCTAACTAAAGACATTTAAACTTGGACTCTAGCAATGATATTAAGGTTCTTTACATACAGTTGTTTCGTCAAGACATTATAAATAAGCGAATAATCAATTACAGTATATGCTTACTATAGTAGTGATGAGTTATTTTAAGTACTAATATTTGGATATCATTTTGTATTCCTGACCAAAAAAGAAATTGTAATAAGCTTTTCGTTAATCTTTTTCTTATGGTCATTTTTATATGTTATGGTGCATATATATATACTAGCTAGTTTACATATATACCTAAACGTATTAATTAATGCAGTATGTGATTGGTGATGGACTCAGTTTGTAATTGCTTCCAATTAGCTACAACCAAAACTTAGATTATAAACAAACAAGAGTACACGAGGGGATTAGGGATTTGTGGTTAGTGAGTTGCTTTCGCCTAAACGTCGGAAAGATATTGTTATATAATCACTATGTGTATTAATACCAGTTGTCACATATAAATTTGTAATAAAATAAGTCATATGATTGCGATTGACGATTGTTATCTAAAGGGTTTTCTTATACGTACTCAACCGATTTAAAGTTATAAATTTATAAAAAAGAAATTGTGATGTCAAAAAAATAATATGAAAATTGTAGTTTTAAATTTACATTGTCTTAAATTTAAACAGTGCACTAATTCATTTGGACAAATTAAAAAAAAATGAAAATAAAAGGTTTGAGGAGTTTTGGATTTTATCTAAAATCTAAGATAAACATTTTATTGGAGGTGAAGACTGAAAGTGATGTGTATATGCTGTTCTTTTTGTCCATCGGAAAAAATGGAGGTGATGCAGAGGGATCCACGTGTAAGATTTCATGTGGCGTAGAAGATTAGGTTCGACGTTGAAAACTATACAAATAATATAGAATACCATCCTAATATTATTTTCAAATGGGAAAATCAATTTGAGGACCGACTCTTACCAACAACTATTTTGGCTCTTTTTAGATGCCGCCTGATCTAACTACACCAATCATTCATGCATTGCCTCAAAGATAATATGACTTTTCATGTCCACGAAAATATATATTCCTCCAAAATAACTTTTCTAAAAGAAAATTATAGCAAGTACTGCTTTGGTCTTGGTCGTCGTCTTTTATCGTTTCTTACAAGTAAACGTAGTATATTGATAAAGACTACTATTTAAAGGTCCACACATAGATTCAGTAATTGGGTTGAACCAGATTAAGGTAAACTGCGATTCATATATGGAATTAATTCAGACAATGAGAAGCCATGTTAGATTCATGAAACATGAACTGGTTTGTTTGTAATAGGCAGTTACATGCAAATTGATCCGCACAACTACCTAAAACTCTTAAAAACCATTGTCTAATATATAAAACTAGTTCCTATCGAATCAAGCTCTCTTTCTAGAAGACTAACTAAGCAATCAATGTAAACTAGTCTCGTCGTTGTGTCATTACTCTCATCATCAGATTCAATTCTCGTAATGTTTATTATTGATAGCTAAAAAAAATGACAACCCTAGAGTAGAATTACGTACAATCCATTGTTGTAATTAGGTCACATAAATTTACAAATAGTAGTTTGTTTTTCAGTACACAACTCATAATTTCAAGCATAATTCTATCTACATTGACACGTAATGAAGACGTGTCGTAAAAGCTTACTTGGATAGGACTTTTTTGCAAGTTGCAATGAAACTCGTGGTTAATGCCGCCACATCTGAAATTCTTGGAAAATTCTTCGAATATACCTTTTAATAATACTCATAAATTCATTTTTCTCACATAATTTAATCCATTTTACATATTTGAGTCTCCCACTGAATCGAAATGTTACAAAATTAACGTATCTATATAATTTGTAAGGAAGGTCATGCAAATCAATACTTTTTTTTTCTTTCTCTTTCAAATGGCCATAAAAGAACTTTAAAGCATGTGACTTTTCTCTGCATGTTTAGCAAAAAGTTTGTTTATGAGGACGTATAAAATTAACTGTCATGTTCTTCTGATCCAAATTTTTTATAGATTTTATAGTTGGTAAAATCTTGAGCCACAAACAAGAAAACTTACTAGGTAGTTCTAAAGAATAAAATCACAACTGTTAAGTATTAACGTAGAATATTTTAGTTCTGATTTTTTTTTTTTTTCATTTTTTCGTTGATATCTATTAATCTATATATGGTAACTTTGCCTATTCTTTACCTTGGACTAACAATGTTATTGACCACCATAAAAAAGTGATTAACGAACTGATCGTTGAGCATAGTCAATATCAAAATACAGAAAGAACGAATATACAAAGAAATATTTAATGAATCGAATCAACAATAATTGAAAAAGCGTATTACGTGGTAAATCAAACGGTAATATTATATACTCTTTGATGTCATTTTTATTGTAGATAAGGAAAATAGAAAAATACAACAATAAATAAAGTTTTTAAGAAAATTAGTAAGAATAATAATAAAAAAAGAGTATATTTGAGCTGGTGATGCTTCATCATCATCGTCTTCACCACTTTGCTCCGACAGGTCACCTTAGTTTGCTTTTCTCACGAAACAAACAAACTTCCTATTTTCTTCTTCTCTTTTTCCAGACCATGAGAAACATAATTGAGCTCCTTCTGTGAAAAAAAACTCATCTTTAATCTCTTCCTCTTGGATTCGGAGAGAGAAACAAAATAAGAGAATTGATTCTCTCTCTCTCTCTCTCTCTCTCTCTCTCTCCTATTTTATTGTGTTCCGATCTGATCGGATTTTTCTTTTTGTTATCATTTAATTTTTCAGGTTCATTTTCGATTTAAATTTCGATTCTTTTTCTGGTGTCGACGGAGAAATTTCTCGGTGGCAGCTTAAAGTTTTGATTTTTCCCTTGTTTTGTTCACCAAGAAGAACATATTTCTTCGTTGATTCCAATTTTGTGAAACCATTAGAAGAAGAAGATAATAAGCTTATGGTTCCATCGGAGATAGAAATTCTGGGAGACGAATCTGATCGTCGTTTCGCCAATCTGAGAGGTGTGCGGTGGCGGGTGAATCTCGGTGTTCTTCCGTTTCAGTCTTCTTCCATCGATGATCTTCGCAAAGCAACTGCTGAATCTCGCAGAAGGTAAGCAAAGCTTAAGCTTTTACCCTTTGCTGCAATGTTGTGTTGCCAAAGTTTCCTTATTTGGGGAATTTTATGGTCAATAAGAGATTTGAGCTTTCTGGGTTTAGCAATGGATCTAATTTGGATTTTCCAATAGCGTAAATGTAATGGTATTACAATGTTTCTTGTCATGTTGTAGATATGCTGCTTTAAGAAGACGTCTCTTGATAGATCCACATTTGTCTAAAGATGTTCGAAATTCTCCTGATCTCTCTATCGACAATCCCTTATCCCAAAACCCTGGTATGAGCTTTTCTGATTCCAAATTTGTCTTTTAGAGTATTGGTGAGATTCTTGGGTGCTGATTATATGACATTTGCAATACAGATAGTACATGGGGTCGGTTCTTTCGTAACGCAGAGCTAGAGAAAACTTTGGATCAAGACTTGTCTAGGTTATATCCAGAGCATTGGAGTTACTTTCAAGCTCCTGGATGTCAAGGAATGTTAAGACGAATTCTACTCTTGTGGTGTCTTAAACATCCTGAGTATGGTTATCGACAAGGTACATTACAACATATTGAAAATAGTTAACTTTTGTTAATAAAGAATGTAGTTTTTGTGATGCATATTGCATAATCTGACATTTTTTCATGTTTCTTTGCAGGAATGCATGAGCTTTTGGCGCCTCTGCTTTATGTACTTCATGTTGATGTTGATCGTCTCTCTGAAGTGCGTAAAAGTTATGAAGATCATTTCATAGACAGATTCGATGGTTTATCTTTTGAAGAAAGGGATATTACTTACAACTTTGAGTTCAAAAAGTTTCTGGAGGATTTCACAGACGATGAGATTGGTGGTATTCAGGGGAACTCAAAAAAAATAAAGAGTCTAGATGAGCTCGATCCCGAAATCCAGTCTATCGTGAGGTTAAGTGATGCTTATGGAGCCGAAGGTGAACTCGGGATTGTCTTGTCCGAGAAATTCATGGAGCATGATGCTTACTGCATGTTTGATGCTCTAATGAATGGAGCTCATGGTTGTGTTGCAATGGCTGGATTTTTCGCTTACTCTCCAGCTAGCGGATCCCACACGGGTTTACCTCCCGTTCTTGAAGCTTCCACTGCGTTTTACCATCTTTTATCGTTCGTTGATTCGTCCCTGCATAGTCATTTAGTAGAACTCGGAGTTGAACCTCAGTACTTTGGGCTTCGTTGGTTACGAGTTTTGTTTGGAAGAGAGTTTTTGCTTCAGGATTTATTGATAGTGTGGGATGAGATATTCTCAGCAGATAATACGACGAGAACAGATGAGGATAACAATAGAAACCAGAGCTACAAGATCTTTGATTCTCCTCGGGGAGCTCTAATCTCGGGAATGGCAGTTTCGATGATATTATGTTTAAGATCATCATTGCTTGCTACTGAAAATGCAGCTTCTTGTCTTCAGAGACTATTGAATTTCCCAGAGAACATTGATGTGAGGAAGATAATAGAGAAAGCTAAGTCATTACAAACTTTGGCTTTGGATGATGATGTACGATCATCAGCTCTGTCGATAAATGATGGCTTTGATCAGAGCATCAGTCCAGCAGTACCGGCGAGAACTAACAGTTTTCCTTCGGGATCTACTTCTCCTAAATCTCCATTGATAATTACACCACAAAGTTATTGGGAGGATCAATGGAGAGTTCTACACAAAGCCGCCGAGGAAAAGAAACAGAGTCCTTCTCCAATACAGAAGAAAAAGCCCTGGTTCAGGGTGAAAAGACTTTTCAGAACAGAGTCTGAGCCAACTCAGAGCGCCAAATCATCAAATGGGAAAAGTGAAGTCAAGGTATCATCTGTTGCGCGTAACTTGCTTGAAGATTTTAATCGGCAGCTTGTTTCTGAACCTGTGGAAGCTAATCCAATAGATGTTGTGCACAATGAAGATAGCTCAATTCAAGAAGCCGAGGATATAAACACGGATTTTGAAACTGCAGCTGAAGAGAGTATAGTAATGGAGGAGAATTCATCTGACGTTTTCTCAGATCCAAACAGTCCTCTCAGAGGCTCAAACTACATTGAGAATGATTCGGATAGCAGTAACGAGTCAAATCTATTTCCCGATGAAACAGTTAAAGATCAAGAAACAAGCGTAGTAGATTCGCCTCTTTCCATTTCTTCTCAACCGAGCATGGAGTTTATAGTATCTCTGTCTAAAGATCAAGAAACAAGCGTAGTAGATTCTCCTCTTCCCATTTCTTCTCAACCGAGCATCGAGTTTCCAGTAACTCAGTCCAATGATGAAGACAATGCTGCAGATAAATCTGTGGCCATTATCAAGGAGCGTAGTAAGGTTTTACCAGGAAAATTCCAGTGGTTTTGGAAGTTTGGACGCAATATCGCTGCTGAGGAGACGAGATGTAATGGTGTCGAAAGTAGTAAGAGCGATTTAGTTTGCTCTTCCGAGTCACATTCTCTTCCACAGGCTTCATCTTCGAGCAGCAAAGGAGACACAGACCAGAATGTGATGAATACTCTGAAAAACCTTGGCAATTCGATGCTCGAACACATTCAGGTACAAGTCACTCTTATTCTCATTCTCTTCATCTATGCTGAAAATATCAAATCAAATGTTCTGATGATTTTTGACCGTATGTTCAGGTGATCGAGTCAGTTTTCCAGCAAGAACGAGGTCAGGTTCAGGCAGGATTAATGGAGAACTTATCTAAGACCAATTTGGTCGAAAAGGGACAAGTCACAGCCATGACAGCTCTCAAGGAGCTTCGTAAAATTAGTAATCTTTTGTTGGAAATGTGATGGACCCTTTGATTCTTCTTGTTCTGCTCTGTGTACATATATATCTAAATTTTTTGTAAAGTATTGTTCTTTAGAGCACGGAATAAAGATAAAGGAAAAGTTTTTCTTGATATCTGTCGATTTTGCTGCAGAAAACCAAAACTTTTTGGTTATGTGATCATGTTTAAGAAGTTATCAATGATGCCTAAGTTCTGAGGTCCTCTGCTTTGAACATTAGAGGCAAAAGCATAATGATTGCTGCTCACATACATTACGTTTTGGAGTCTGAAGGGTAAAATTTTCTGTACTTGCACATTAGATCGAAGAAGACTAAAGTAGAACACAACACTTCTTTTTTTGAGTTGAAGAAGATGAAAGTATGCAGAAAAAGAGTCTACTTCTACTCTATGTTGTGAAAACCAGGGAGTAGTGAAGTTATGAAGCCGAACACTATCATCTGAATCTCTTTCACTATCCCCCACCATTGATTCCCTTGGTTTCCTGCGTCGACGTTTTCATTTTCATTTGCATTTGCTCGGTTACCATTATCAGCTTCATTCTCTTGTCCCTCTGCGCAAAAAATAGAAAACAAAATCCTTCTGCATAAGTTGTTGTGATGGGTTCAGTATATACCATGGGAAAGAGATATTGCAAAGTAATATACCGGGAACTGCATTTTCGTTTAGTGGAACTGCAGCTGCAGGATCATTATCAGCTCTGGCAGCAGGTCTATGTGGTCGAGGTGGTGGTACTGCTGCTCTATGCATACCTTGAGAGAGCCATCGCACAAACGGTGCAAGAGCCCCAGTTTGGTATCTGTCATGTTTGCAACACCAAACACAGATCAAACTCTATATCAATGCTTTTTCATGAACTTATAAACTTGCTATGAGGGAGTAATGGGACCATATAAACAACCAACAATTGATCATGAATCATGCACTTGAGAGGTCGTTGTATATGGTGAAAACCATAAGACGACACACCAGCATAAGATTGAAATTAAACAAGATTCTCGAGACTTACAAGTAAATTATGGTAGCAAAAATCACAAGAACAGCGAGCCTTTGTCTTGATCCATCTTGGTTGAACAAAAAGATAACAGCAGCAAGCTTGAGTATGAGGAACAAATCAAGCTGAAAAGCGATCTGAAATCTCCTTTCCACGACATGCCTTTGATTTGCAGGTTGCTGCTGCTGCTGACCCTGCCCGGCTTGCGCTTGATTCTCTCCCCCAGTCTCAGCCTCATTATTTGGTCTAGTACTAAACAAAATACTAAAATCATCAACCCCAAAAGCTTTAATATCAAGCCTATACATTCTCACAAGCCAATGAGCAAAAGGTACCAACTTGTTGACACAACAATGATTCTTCTAGCTAAATCAATTACCTACGACTATGATTCTTCTCCAGTGTTACACTGAGACACAATTTTACTACCGAGTATCGAAGCTAATCCATCAAATCCATGTGAAATTCTAAGGAACTATTACTTACGTTGGAACATTGTAAGTGAGAGGGATAAGATAATTTGAGGGAAGACCAGCGACATGTCCACCAAATTGATGCACAGGAACCGCATAGATTCCAGCTCCACGATTCATTTGTTCCTCGTACTGAACAGGATTGGATCCGGGAACAAGACCCGGATAAATAACCGGATACATTGGAGAATCACCATTAGGATAAGCTCGAAACCCAGAAGAAGACGCTGGATCCTGTTAATTGAAACACTCAGAAATCAAATCATCAAGTCAATTCGTAAACCCTTGAATTGATCCAGCGAAAGGGGAAAAATTAAGCAAGTCACAGACCTGAGGTTTGATCCCAACATCTTCAGGTTTCTTATCACCAGAAGAAGAGACCTTTTCTGGTTCTTCAGCCATTTTCAAAGGATCAAACTTTACGCTCTCTCTGTCTCTTGAATCCGCGAAATTGTTCTTCTTCTTCGTTTTTTCTGAAAGTCTGATAATTTTTTTCTTAGGAGGTGAACTTTTTTTTTGCTAAAAAAAAAAAAAAAAAAAAAAAAAAAACTTTTTTTTTGCTCTGCTCCTTCGTCAGCTTCTCCAATTAAATTTGGACACGTCACCAATGTTTGTGACATTATTATTTAGTTTCGTATTTCTGGTAAATTGCACAAAACATCCTGGTTCTTTACTAAAAGAGCAATTTTGGACAAAATAATAAAATTATGTTGTAGGAACTTAAAAAGTAAACAGAAATGTATAACCAATAACCAAAGTATCAAATCGAAATTGAAATTCAGTTTTGTTCATATGATTGGTTAAACTTTTTTTGTTCTCTCCAAAATATAAATCAAATAAGAAAACTGAAGCTCCACAAAAAACATCAGCCAAGGAACTTACTTTAATCAAGTCATGAGCATGAGTCTTGAACAAACAAAAAAACAAAACTAATCATCATCCGATAAACCAACCTTGGGTAGAAACATAGGACTCTCTAGATGATCCAAAGAGACTTTGATGATAGTAGCAAAGCCATCTCCAATTCCTTCAATCACAACTTTTCTGGCATTTTTTTCCTTGAGATCGTAATAAATAAAAAAGAAGGGGTTAGGGAAAGAGCACGGTGCAAATATAAGCTCCCCGCGGGGAGTGTACCCTCGAACCTGAATTTATGATTCCCAACTAAATTTGTCCAACAAGGAACCAACAGAGATGCTTTTGACCATTCTTGTTTACTGGCATCCTTCATAACCCACAAGTCAAGTGTACCGTTACAAGAGTAATTCGTTAAAGCTATCTTTCCAATGTAGTTCACCAGATTACAAGACCATACATATTTGTTATCCTTAGGGAACTTAATAACATTGAATTCTTCTGATCTCAGATTGAAGCTTATTAGAGATAGTTTATCACTGATCCTCGCTCCATAATACACAATCCCATTTATGCATATTCCTCGCCTTTTAGGATCAGCTAGAAGATGGTGATGCTTACATTCAATCATTCTCCATTCTTGTTTAGCTCCTAATGTGAAAACTTGATGCTCCTCCGTCCCAATAATTCTAATATATTTTCTGAAACGAACATATAGTGCCGTCATGCACAAAACTTTGTATAGATCATTAACCGGATCATATCCAAAAAATGATACTATATCTATGAACCTTTTCTTAGTTTTGAGTTTAGGCAAAGTTACGAATTGACCAGTACTAGGATTCCCAATCGACACTTTAGTACCATTTAGACAGCAGATCAAGCCCCGGACGGGTGGAGAAAAACGATACCCTAAAACAGGATTCAAAGTCATAGTTACCCTGTGATGATCACAAGACGGGCCCTCCAGGGATCTGGAGTGCAAGAACTGCATCTTGAGACGGGAGACTGAGACTGTCAAAAGGAGACGAGGCAGAGTTGAAGATCGAGTCAGGTACAACTCCGTGAAATCTTTGTCGAGGATGATCGATGACCAGTGTTTAGAAACGAAGATGAGATTGGCTACGGATTTGGCCGGCAATTTCAGGAAAATCTCTATCATCAGCTCCAGAGGAATATTCGAAAACAGATCGTTTTCTTCACTTTGGTCGTCTCGTTTCTTCCTGACCTTATCCATGGGGAGTTTCGGTTCTGCTCACTGTTTTCTTATTTTTTTACTCTTGATTGGTTAAACCCTAATCGTCCTTATATTTTTGGCAAGTCGAAACCCTAATATCCAGAATAAAAAAAATTACGCAAAGTTTCGCCTAATTAATTAATCTCCAAGGAAGAAGTTAACAGTCGATGAATTAAAAGTCCTATACAAATACAACTTACTACAAGACAGCTGAAGCTGAGGTTCGGAAGTGGAACGAGAGGAAGTTGAGTTTGAGTAATTTGTTCTTGCCTTGCGAGATTCAAGAGTTGTTTATGGAGCCGCTAAAACACTTGGGCTAAAAAGTGAAGACTAGTGGAGAAACTTGCAAAATCCCTGGTTTTTAGGCTATTTCAAAGTCCGTGCGTAACACGATTCCTGCTGATGAGCTTTGGTTATTCCTTTTTTTTATAAGTCAATTCTTTGTTTATTTTCTACACAAATTTGGAATAAAACAGAAGTATCAAATCAATGGAATTCAGTTTTGTTCATTTGATTGGTTAAACCTTTTCTGTTCTCTCCAAATATAAATCAAATAAATAAAAACGAAGCTTGTATAAGCTCCACACAAAACCAAACCAGAACTTACTTTAATAAAGTCATGAGCATACAATGCCATTAAACAAAATAAAGACTATATCTTAGACAACTATTATCCAAGATCTTACATGCGGCTTGAACCAAAAAAAATGAAGGAGATACGTTACATGCAACAAAGCCAAAAAACTAGTCATCATCCGATAAACAAACCTTTGGTAGAAACATAGGACTCTCTACATGATCCAAAAAGATTTTGATACTAGCAAAGTCAACTCCAATTCCTTGAATCTTAACTTCTCTAGCATTTTTTTCCTTGAGATCGTAACAAATAATAAAGAACGGTCTAGGGAAATGACACGGTGTAAATATAAGCTCCCCGGTACTAAGTGTACCCCTGAACCTGAATCTTTGACCCCCAACTAAATTTCTCAAACAAGGAACCAATAGAGAAGCTTTTGACCATTCTTGTTTACTGGCATCCTTCATAACCCACAAGTCAAGTGTACCGTTACAGTCGTAATTCGTTAAAGCTATCTTTCCACTGTAGTTCACCAGATAACAAGACCTTCGATATTTGGCATCCTTAGGTAACTTAATAACATTGAAGTCTTCAGATCCCAGATTGAAGCTTATTAGAGATTTAGATAGTTCATCACTGATCTTAGCTATATAATACACAACCCCATTCATACATATTCCTTTCTTTTCAGGATCAGCTAGAAAATGGAGATGCTTACATTCAATCATTCTCCATTCTTGTTTAGCTTCTAGAGTGAAAACTTGATGCTCCTCCGTCCCAATAACATCTTTTTTACCTTCTGAAGGAACATATATTTCCGTCATGCACAACACTTTGTATAGATCGTTGACCGGATCATATCCAAAAAATGATACTATGTAACTTTTCTTCGTTTTGACTTTAGGCAAAGTTATGAATTGACCAGTAGTAGGATTTCCAATCAACATTTTAGTACGATTTAGACAGCAAATCAAGCCGCGGACGGGTGGAGAAAAGCGCCATGAATCAGAAGTACTAGGTAACCTGTGATGATCAAAAGATGGATCCTCCAGGGATCGGGAGTGAAAGAATTGCATATTGCGACGGTAGACTGAGACTGTGAAAAGAAGACGAGGCAGAGTCGAAGATCGAGTCAGGTACAACTCGGTGAAATCTTTTTCGAGGATGATCGATGACCAGTGTTTAGAAACGAACATGAGCTTGGCTATAGATTTGGCCGGCAATTTCAGGAGAATCTCTATAATCAGTTCCAGAGGAATATTCGAAAACAGATCTTTTTCTTCGCATTGGTCTCGAATCTTGGACCAAGTAAGACATTTTTTATATTTCTTCCTGACCTTACCCATGGGGAGTCTCGGTTCTGCTCGCTGTTTTATTCTTTTTTACTGTTGATTGGTTAAACCTTAATCGTCCTAATATTTTTGGCAAGTCGAAACCCTAATACAAGAAAAAAAAAGAGTTACACAAAGGTTCGCCTATTTAATTAATCTTCAAAAAAAAAAAAGTTACACTCGATGAATTATTATTAGTCCGATACAAAACAACTTACTTGAAGAAAAAGCTAAAGCTTAGGTTTGGAAGTGGAACGAGAGGAAGCTGAGTTTGAGTAATTTGTTCTTTGCCTTGCGAGATTCAAGAGTTGTTTATGGAGCCGCTAAAAGAACTTTGGCTAGCTGTTTATGCACGTGAAGACTAGTGGAGAGAATCTTGCAAAATCCCTGGTTTATAGCCTATCTCTAAGTCCTTGCGTAACACGATTCCTCTGCTGATGAGCTTTTTGGTTATTCCTTTCTTTTTTCCATAACTCGATATTGCGGTTTCTTTGTTTATTTTCTACACAAATATGGAATAAAACAGTTCTACAAAATCTATCCTACCTTTTTTGTTTTTTGACATAAATCTAATTTACCTTATAAGTTTCGAATTTAATATAGAACTTACATAATTGGTACGAAAACTAATTTATGGTGATATTCTTCTATATATGTTGATTTTTTTTGGTTAAATAATGGCTGTACAGTACTGTATTCTGTATGTAGCAGGATTGGCCACCTATTTTTTTTTAAAATTATATTTTACATATATTTTACACATACTAAAATCTAATTTATAGTCCATTCTTTTTTTTTACGTAACATTGATATTGGAAACTTATAACTTTGATAATGGATTCAAACTAACTCATGGTATTATTATTTGTTAAAAATTTCACTTTATGGGTTAAGAGATCATCTTTGAATCCTCCCATTTCAATTATAGTTCACCACTAATGTAATTAAATGTTTTAAATGATGAGAAAATTGGTACGATACTATAAAAGAAAAGAGTGGAAAAAAGTGAAAAACAAACCCTAGTTTCGGTGTCAAGGTCATCGTTAATTATTTTAAAGTATTAGTAAAACTAAAGAAACAAAGTGGAGAAGCCAGTTAAGAGTGAAATAACTATATATCGCCACCACCGTAACGAGAGAAGTTAAATGGAAAAGCCATTCGATGGATAACTATGGAAGGAGAGACGAATAAATCTGGCTCAGAGATGAGGACGCCATCAAGAGTAAAACCAGAAGCTGAATTGTTGGTAACGACTATAGAGTGTCCAGAGAGAAGTGTAGGAATGCGAGAGAAAGGCATCATGAGACTTATGACTGAGAAGTCAAGCCATTGTGGAACTATGTGGTAAGAAGCAACGAGTGGTGACGTGGCGTTGATTCCTTCTACGGATGTTTTGGGGAGGAAGAGAGTTGAAGTGAGGACTGGACCGTTTAATTCGTCGTTGTTGTTGAGGAACGCTCCGCTCCAATCTTCGAAAGAGCCGCTTGAGATCATTGCGTCTATGATTTTGGTTGCGATTTGGTTTTGCTCCGTCGTGAGAAAGGGAAGCGAAATGGAGGATGTAATGGTGATGATAGTGATGATGAGGAGGAAGAGGAGGAGGTGCTTGGTGGTTGCCATGGAAGAAAATATGAGGAATGTAAATTGTTGTAGTGTTGGAGGGTTCTTTTTTTTTGGTATATAAAAGAATAATCTGTTAGGTGAATCATGTAAGTTTTGTATTTGGTTGTAGTTGGAGAATGCAAAAAGTTATTAAGTATTTTCAAGTGCATTTAACATGAGTCATGGCTGATTTTGAATTTTCTACAATTTTGAGATTTTTACAGAGTATAAGAATATATATCATGATGATGCTCATGATACTGAAAGTACTGGTAATGATGGGATGATGATGATAATAATACAATGATAGTTTTATGAAGATACAAATATCCATCTTTACCTCGCTCGAGGAACCATTTCAGTATCGAGATTCATCGTCACCCTTCTCACAGGATCCTTATGGTTACTTCGATCTGTCATTCTCCCAAAGACACTCTGTTTCAGCTCCATAACGACTTGGCTCATCGTCGGTCTTTGCTCTGAACTCTCAGACGCAGAAGCCAATGCTATTTCAGTGATCTTCCAAGCCGAGCCAACCTCAAATTTATCTCCTAGACGTTGATCCACAATGCATTTTATGTCTCCATTCGCCAACATTGAACCAATTTGATCACTTAGATGCACACTCTCTGTTCTTGAACGCGAAATCGCCGGTTTTCCTATTATGACTTCAAGAAGAACCACCCCGAAGCTGTAAACATCACTCTTCTCATTCATTTGCGTCATGTAATACCTGAATTTAGGCAATAAAAGGATTTGAAACACAACTGGTTAATAAATAATTATACGTCTACCGCAATCAGGAATCTAGATTCTAAGTGTACAATTTTCATTACTCGGGGTCTAAGTGGTCCCGTCGACAACGGTGGACTAAAGAAAGATAATCTTCGTGGACTAAAGAAAAAGAACCTATAATAGTTGCAAGTGACGAATATAAAATAGTTTCTTAAAGAAGTTGCCATAATCAGGGCTGTATTGGTCTTCTATCTCAAAAACTAAGCTCATCCAAAAATGAAACAATCATTCAGATCGCCTGCAGGTTTCACATTGAGTACCATGAAACATTCATCAGCACAGATTATACGTCAATCTACAGGATGAACCCTAATCTTGTAACTGTATAGACATGGATATTATCAGAAAATGTGATTTCCTTCTGATAGAACAGAGTTTTTACCTGTCCGAATACTAAAATAAATTTTCTTTGCCACCACAAGTTTAAGGGGATTTAGGTTGACTTCCAGTGCCATGTTCCGCCCCGCATGATGCCATACTCCATGTTAACTTCTAACTCTTTTGTAGATGTGGAATCATCTATCATTAAGAAAAAAATGACAAAAATGTATCACCAAAGACAAAAACTTCTGTTTACAAAATTTATAGAAGAGAAAGAACGCAAATAGAAAATGTTTGTTAATGTTTTGAAAAGAGATGATACATTGGAAGCCGTGTGTGTATACGATTTTGCTAGCTTGTTTCACACATTGCATCCAAGATCTTGCTCTATTCTACACCAGCCACACAAGATCAAAGCAGAAACATTGCCGCACTCGGCATGTTGTTCTTAACTAGCAAAACTGCTGAATCAATCTGGAACAGATCCTTAACTTAGGCTTATGATTATATCCGCCAATCATCCTTTTGACCTTCTTCTTCTCAGCATTGCATCGCATAATTTTGCTGCGTCTGCGTTATGTCTAACATCATGAACTCTAATGATATTGGCACCTCCTAAAATGCCTGCAGTAACAGAAGCAACAGTTGCAGCATCTCTGTCAGTGGCCTCAGGACGCCCACAAATATCTCCCAGAAATCTCTTCCTTGAAGGTCCTATGAGTATAGGCGCATGAGACACTGCTATACTTCTCTTAGCCATCTCTTCTCGGATTTTTGGCAGTTCCATAATAATATCTAGATTATGATCTACACTCTTGGAAAACCCAATCCCTGGATCAATCATAACCCTCCAAGCTGGAATCCCAGAGAGTTCCGCATCTCTTACTCTCAAGTAGAGTTCAGAAGCAACATCCTTGCAGATATCATCGTACTGCAAATTCTCTTTGTTCTGCATTGTACATGGATCTCCTCTCATGTGCATGGCCATGTAAGGAACCCCAGATTCTGCAACAACCTTATGCATATTTGGGTCTAAGGTTCCCGCAGATACATCATTTAGAATGTCAGCTCCATTGCTTATTGCTTCTGAAGCAACCTCAGAGTTGAAAGTGTCCACGGATATGAGCTTTTCCTCCATCTCTGGCATACCACGAACAGCCTCTAAAACTGGTAGTAGTCTATCTAACTCTTCTTGACTAGAAATTCTTGAGGCCATTGGGCGTGTGGACTGTGCTCCAATATCAATTATATCTGCACCATCAGAGATCATTGAGCGAACCCGAGAAACTGAAGACTCTATTGATTGAAATTGCCCTCCATCACTAAAGCTGTCGGGGGTAAGATTAAGTATACCCATCACATGAGTTTTGTTAGAAAAATCCCACAGTTTATCTCCTATTGGTAAAACCCTTTGTATACCATCTTGTCCAATCAGTGATTCGCCACCCAGTCTCTCCCACGCTTGGAAAATTCCACCAGGATGTATCGCGAGCGAATGCCAATGAGCAACTGTATCATTATCAACAGCTGATCCAAGCAAATCAACCAAAGGTGCTAACACAAATGACCTTTCCCACAGTCTCTCATGTGGTATGATCAGCTTATCAGAACTTATTCTCATCTTTCCGTAGAACAATATGTCCAAATCAAGTGGTCTTGGTCCATACCGAATACCATCCTCACGTCCCATGTCTTTCTCAATAGTCTTGAGAACACTCAATAGCTCATGAGGTCCAAGCTTAGTGACACCTCTCACTGCAGCATTGAGAAACCTTGGTTGATCAGTCACATGAACAGGAGCTGTTTCGTACAAACAACTGTGCCTGGTTACACAAATGCCACCACGCTTCATCAATCTCAAAGCCTCTCTGAAATTATTCATCCGGTTTCCAATGTTACTTCCTAAAGCAATCACAACTTCATGCTCCGTAGATTGAACTTCAACAGTTGTACTTGTTGCCGAAGATGAGAAAGCTGAGTTACATAATGCTGCAGCAACAAGTCACAAATCACACATCTTTCGAAACTTTTCTAAATGAAAAAACCAAATCAGCAGTGGAATCAATCAACTAGCAATTCCCACAGAAGTGAATCACAAGCTTCCACATCCAAGAACTAGCTGAGACTAGTATTTCCAAATCAAGTAATGTACAATGAAGAGAAGAGGAAGCTGAATATGTCAATTGCAGATACCTGGGGGACTGGATAAAGAGGAACAGTGCAAGCCAAGTGGAGATACGAGGGAAAGAGACTTCGACGAATAGTATCGGTGGAAGCAGACGCGACTCGCGGCCACAGCGGCGATTACCGCCGGAGGTGGTTCTGAGAAGCGGCGGAGAAGGAATCTTCCGGTGTGGATTAAATATTGTGACAGCAAAGGTGCCATTTTCGGTGACAGAGAGGCAGATGCAATCTAAAGTTTGAAGCTTTGTGCTGATGACTGAGGAAGATGGTGCAAGGTGAAACGGGTACCATCTGGGATCCGAATTAGACCCGACCCGTATATGCAAATAAAATAAACCAGGAAACCAACTGAATTATTTTAATTAGCGGTTATTGATCCGGTTTTATCTTTCTGAGCCGAATTCAAACAGTACCGAAAAATCAAAGTGGAGATACTGTAAATCGTTAAATAGCGTTGAATAAACCGGAATTATAAATAGAAACCAAAGCAAAATCAACCCAAGATATTGGTTTTTATACAAAACCAGATGTCTACAAACCGGAACCAAACCAAACAATTCTTTATTGGCATTTTTGCCCTTCTCTGTTGTGTTTTATCTTCGAAAAGTCTCATTTCTCGATCCCCAATTCGTGGATTAGGGTTAAAAGGAACCATTTTTATTCTCATCTCTCAAACAACAAATCTCAGATCGAAGAAGGAAGAAGAGATCGAAATGGCGTTGAGAAGAGTTTACAGTGAGATCAAAGGGAAGAAGGTGACGGAGCTTCCCGGCTATTTGAAATCGACGTTTTCAATGGAGACCGTGAAGACCTCTGTGAAGAGAGGACTCGATAACTACAACGAAAAATACATTCAGACCAGCTCCGTTGATCCTATCCTTCATATCTGCTTCTACGGAATGGCTTTCTCTTACCTTGTTGCTCTCCCTAATGAGCGTCGTCATCTTGAGCATCAGCAGCATGCTAAGGAGCACGGTGGTCATTGATCTCGTCGGAATCGTTTCGATCTCGAGATGATTTTAGGTATTCTGAAATTCGATCCTTTTGATTGTGTGGCCTTTGGTTTATCAAAATTTCGGATTTTTTTGGTAAATGTGTATCATTTGGTGAACTGAGATTTTGTTATATGATTTGGGGATTTTAGTTAGTATCTGTATGTTCCATGAATGTCAAATTTGCTATCTTTGTTTCGATTTCGATGTTTTCCATTGTAAAGGATTCATCTTTTTTCAAAATTTGTGGACTTTTTCAAAATTCTGTAGATGAGTTTAATCTTTATCAAAATTTGCTTTGATTTCAAAATGGTTGAGATGTGTAGTTTGGTGACACTGTGACCATATTTAGCTTAACCAATGTAGACTCTTTGGTAGTTCCAGTATTTTCTAATATGTAAATGGGTTAAATCTTTCTCAAAATTCTATCTGATTTCAAAATAGCTGAGATGTGTAGTTTGGCTATACTGTGACTATGTTTAGCTTCAACAATTTAGGTTCTTGGTAGTTGAAGTATCATATCTCATTGATTCTCATTGTTCTTTGGGGATTTGATGGTTGGATTCTATATGTGAAGTTTTCTATATTAATGTCAAGAAGTATCAGTTTCTAATGGATGGTGCTTGTGTTTGTGTTTATGAATGCAGGGGGTTGCTGTGAAATCTTTCTCTGCTTGATGGTGAGGACTAAAGAATTGTGTGTCTTATTGTTTTGTTTTCTTGAATTTTCCTGGATATTGTTGACCTAAAGGAAAACCTCTCTTTTGAATTGCACTCCATGATAGTCAATAATTGAAGCATCATGATGATATCCATGAATAATGAAACCTGTTTTGTTTTCCATGAAGTTGTGAATTCAGCATTTGTTTTATCATGTTTGATCGATTCAATGCTTGGATCCAGCTGAAATGATGCATAATTGATTATAACCATCTAAAAAACAGAATCGTTCGAACATAATTTTCGATGTAAATCTTAATCGTCTTTTATTCATTTCCCTTCAAATCAAAGACCTTTATATGGATTTCAAATTCAAAACAAATTGGCAAGGTTGTAAAATACAATAGTAAAACTGTAAAAGTGTGAAAACAGTAGTTAACCCAAAATAAGAAGAACAATAGTGAAACATCGAAACTCTCATTACTTGTCATTTATTGGGCCAAAGTTCAAATGAAAAGAATTCTAGTATAAAGCTAAAACCAACTGAAAGGCCGATGGGCCAGCTTTTACTTAGCCATATTAGGCCTTATGCAGAAATTCGTGGTCGACATGTTATCTATACAAACATAGAAAACAAACTACTAAAGTGTTGGTTTTTGCAGTTATGAGGAAGACATATATAATAATAATACGTGATTATGATGTATGTCCAATTGTGTAAATCATTGAACGTATCGATTTAGTAGTTTTAGTAAAGTTGTTTGATCCTCAAACAAGTTTAGTCGTAATCACTTTTGGGAGTATTATAGTGATATCTTCACGGGAAAGCCAAAGCGTCTTTTTCCTTTCTCATCATGATATATAGTAGATTACTCTATTCTTAGGGAAATCGTTCGTTAATGAACTCAATCGAAATGAAATCATATTGACCCCCAAAAAGATAGAACTTGGCACAAGGTGAATAAAATGTTCTATATACCTATCATTAATGATACTTCATACTCGGTTAGGTTGTGAGTTTTATACGAATAAATAAAAGGGCCATTTAATAATGAAGGGGTGTGTATATGGATGACATAAATACTAAATTCAATAGCATTTTTGTCGTTACACCTAATTTGAATATCCATTTAGTATAAATGATTGTTATATATAGACTCACGAAAAGTAAGTTGTCACGATTTCGCACATAACGAATTCTGTCCCTTTTGGACCGAAAGACATTCTAAAGTTACTTTTAAAATCATCAGCAACAAGGATTTTCCATAATCAGTGGGCAAACACAAATAATATTTGCTCTTGAAAAAAAAGTTCTTAAACCTTTTTGTCTGTAAAATGTAATAGTCTATTTATTCACTGAGATTCACTTGCTAAGTTCAGCTTAAACTGTTACGAAGATATGCATTAAAAAGAAAGAAAACAATTAGAGCGATGAATTAGGGATGTATAAAATCAAATAAGTGGGAAGTTTATTTTTGGTAGGTGTAAGAGGAATCAATGTTTTGGACAAGAAGAAACGTCAAATGACACATGATGTGTTTCGACTAAACGACATATCACCTGGGAACAATCCTTCACATGTGCCTTTCGATGTTAACTTTTTACGACCACATACCTCCAATTACTTAACTACATTACAAATATCTTCGTATTCTCAGTTGTCACTATTAATCTTCACTGCTAATGTGATATAAATCTCCCGTGTTCTACTACATATAGTTTTTAATTGTAGCTAAAATTCTTACTATATGAAATATAAGTACCTCCATTTTAACGAAAAAAAGTTGTTTTATATCAAGACTAGCATTTCTTCACATTTACATTTATGTTTATCCGTTTCAATAAAATTTTAGTTTGTGTGAAAAACAATGTTGGTGAAAGCATTAATTTCTTAGTTTGACCAGCGACATATGATCTACCTGTGTTGAATTCACACAGAAGAATTTTGGAATTGGAGCCTGGTAAATAGTTTAATTTCTTACACTTTCATGAGTTACTAGCTAGTAATATTTTTGGTTGGACACAAATATTATACTCCTCATAAATCTAAGGGCAACAAATTTTCTTGGCTTGGAGCCCACCAAATCGCTGGCACTAAATATAATCACAAAGATTTAACACTGATTTTTGAATAATTTAAGTTTTAAAAAACTTTAGTATGGAATTTTTTTCTTATCTTCATAATTACTCAAAAAAAAAAAAAAAGAGATATGTAATCCAAAAAAGAAACACAATCAAGTGGTAATTAACTGTGTTCATAATGCTTTTGGAGGGAAGCCGCGTTTTATGATTGAAACATGAATTCTAATCAAACATCATTACTCTTAATAATAATACTTTAGGTCCCATAAGAGATTATGAAATTAATATTTGAACTTTTTAGTTGTATACTTTTCTTTACCTTTCATCAATTAAGTCAACTATCTTTTCTCTCCCTCCTTGGACTTTTCACGTATTTATTTGTTTCTTCTATCTCTTTTTGCGTATATATATACGTATATAACTCTCATTCATTAAATTATTTTCCAATTCCTCCAAAACAAAAAGTTTAATTTACCTAGGATACCATCAAAGTATTCATCTATTTATTTCACATTTTTTACATTCTACTACTAACTAGTGTGAAAAAAACAAATTAGAGAATTAAAATACTAATAAAATACTAATACGTAGGATACTATCAAAGTATTGATCTATTTTTTTTTTGCATTTTTTTACATTGTACTACTAACTAACGTGAAAAAAACAAATTAGAGAATAAAAATACTAATAAAGATTCCCTTTTTGTGTTCATCATTATTAATCAATATTCAATTTCAACAACAGATTCACTTTAATATATATACTAGATGGTTAGATTTTTATACTTTACATAAACCTCGTATAGTGTGGTAAATTCCCACTACTATGCTACATGTATGTTTATATATTAAGATTATTAAAAATTAAACATAATCTTTTAAAAAAGCTACATATGTGTGAGAGAGTCACCATTATCAACGGTTCATTGTCTGCTTAGCATTTTTTTAAAAAGGTAATTAGATTTTTTTTTTAACGAATTAAGAAAAAGAACAAAAACCCTAATAATAAATCTCTAAAGTCCACACACACTAAAACACACTCTCTCTCCGTCTCTAACTAAAAAACTTGTCACTTACATTTCTTCTTTCTTTCATTTATCTCTGTTTTTCCTTCTTTTGATCTTTTTTGCAAGATCTCTATTTTTCTTCCAAAAAAGGAAAAAAAAAGAAGAAGCAAAGTTTCTCTTATATCATTCCCGTTCAGATTGTTCTATCTATCTGCACATTTGATTTATGTAGTGACTAATCTCACAGTCTCGTTCTCAAATTTGCTTTACTTTATCTGGTTGATTCGTTTCGTGAATCCAAGTAAGTTTTACTCTTTTTGTTTTTGCTTTTTGGCTTTATTCCATTCAAGTTTCAAGTTAAAAGGATCTTCTTTTGTGAATGACATGTAGAAGCATTTTTATTGCATTTAGTGTTGTTTTGTTTCTGGGTTTGTTATATTGCTTATTCCTTGCTTGGATGATTTGTGAAAGTGGGTTACTTCTTCTTATCTTTAATATTTTTATGTGTGTTTATAAATTCCTCAAGATTTGTTATTTTTTTGTCTTTCTCTGTCTCACTGATTGCTCACCCACAGTTGCTACTGTAGTTACTGTATCCTCTTCAAACAGTTGAATTTGTTTAGGTATATTTTGTCTAGAGAAGTTGAGTTTACCAATCTACAGTGTGATTGAAGTATCCCCAAGTTTTTATCTTGGAGTTACTTGGGAGTGGCCTTTAAGCTTTAAGCCTCAGAGAAGATTTGGATTGTGAATTGTCAGATTTAGAAAGTTTTGTCTTTTATCGCTGTGAAGGATAGCAGAACTATATCATAAGGTCTGAGAAGAGTGTTAGATTAATTGATCAGAGTTGTCTTAGGATATGTATGTGGTGGTGCTTTTAAGTTGCTTAATATCGGTTGTTTTCAGGGATACTAATGCTTTTCATTGAATTTTGATACTGCAGATTAGTCTAAAGCGAGTTAAGCTTGGTGCTTCTTTGGCGAGAAGCAAGATGAATATCGGGTGTAAAGTTCTCGTCTTTTTCACATGTTTCTTCTCTGTGACAGCAGAGATTTACATTGTGACTATGGAAGGAGACCCAATCATTAGTTACAAAGGTGGTGATAATGGATTTGAAGCAACTGCTGTGGAATCTGATGAGAAAATTGATACTACTAGGTACCTATGCTTTCTCTTCTTCAAGTTACAATCTTATTAACATCTGACTCACCAAAGGCTTTACTACATATAGCAGAGATGATTCTTCAATTTCCTTAGTATTGATTAGGCCTATATCATTGATGTGTAGTACAATGTTTTGGCCAAAATCTTTGGCATCTTCTTAGTGTTTCTATCTAGACTAACAATATGTTACCCCTTTTTGGCAGTGAACTGGTGACATCATATGCTCGTCACCTTGAGAGGAAGCATGATATGCTTCTTGGAATGCTCTTTGAGGAAGGATCTTACAAAAAGCTTTATAGCTATAAACACCTCATTAATGGTTTTGCAGCTCATGTTTCCCCTGATCAGGTGAAATCCGCTTCGATATAGTCTCTATAGATTTCCTTTTAATGTTTAATTCATAGCTTCTTACACTATTCCACTATATTAGTAGGCGGAAATGCTTCGCCGCGCGCCTGGTGTGAAATCTGTGAATAGAGATTGGAAAGTGAGGAAACTCACCACACATACACCACAGTTTTTGGGATTACCAACTGATGTTTGGCCAACTGGTGGTGGTTATGATAGAGCAGGAGAAGATATTGTTATTGGCTTTATTGACTCAGGGATATTTCCACATCACCCAAGTTTTGCCTCTCACCACACAGCATTACCTTATGGCCCTCATCCTAGTTACAAAGGGAAATGTGAAGAAGATCCTCATTCTAAGCTCAGTTTCTGCAACGGGAAGATCATAGGAGCGCAACATTTTGCTGAAGCTGCTAAAGCAGCTGGTGCATTTAATCCTGATATCGACTTTGCTTCACCAATGGATGGCGATGGACATGGAAGGTTTGTCTTGCTTATCTTTTTAATAATATACAACATTAAATTTTATGAAAAGCTTCTTAGTTTTCCCAAAGGAAATTAGTTCCAGGACAGGGTAGGAACAAGCCTTACATTCACAGAACATGACTAACTAATTCACTCACATGTCGCAGAACTGCTTCTTCCTGTGCACATTTTGATTTGTGTGCTTCTTTTTGTTCTAATAAAAAAAATTGGCCTTTCAGTCACACAGCAGCTATTGCAGCTGGGAATAATGGTATTCCAGTGAGGATGCACGGCTATGAGTTTGGAAAAGCAAGCGGGATGGCTCCTCGTGCAAGGTAGATAGATAACTGATCCAGAAATTGGTGGCTTTAAAGACATTTCTGTTCCTTTCTTCTAAATTAAATGCTATCTTGTTTCAGGATTGCTGTTTACAAAGCTCTCTACCGGCTATTTGGAGGCTTTGTAGCTGATGTGGTTGCTGCCATTGATCAGGTAAGCAAGAACTTAGCACACTACTAAATCGGATGAATAAAATTGTACCAAATATATGAAACAATGCTTTCTCCTGCTGAATTTGTTCTAGTTTCTTCATAGCTCTGCTTCTTTGTTCTGTTTTGAGAATCTTCACAAGTGAAATAATCTCTTAAACTGCTCACTCCCATGAATCTACTATGATTTTCTGAGCAGGCTGTTCATGATGGAGTAGATATTTTGAGTCTCTCGGTTGGTCCAAACAGTCCTCCAGCTACTACCAAGACAACATTCTTAAATCCATTTGATGCTACACTTCTTGGGGCTGTAAAAGCTGGTGTTTTTGTTGCTCAAGCTGCTGGAAATGGAGGTCCCTTTCCGAAAACTCTGGTTTCGTACAGCCCTTGGATAACTACTGTGGCTGCTGCAATTGATGATCGCAGATACAAAAACCATCTGACACTTGGAAATGGTAAAATGCTTGCCGGAATAGGACTATCCCGTAAGTTTCTCCTTTCTCTGATCTAAATATGCAGATCCACACAATAGTATCTTGTTTAGGAAGAGACTGTTAGTTTATTCTGAGTCTTTCTATTGTTTTTTTGTTGGATCATTATGTGTTTGTGCAGCTTCTACTCGACCTCATCGTTCATACAAGATGGTCTCTGCAAATGATGTTCTGCTTGGTTCTTCGGGTATGAAATACAATCCGTCAGATTGCCAGAAGCCAGAAGTCTTGAACAAAAGATTAGTCGAAGGAAACATTCTGCTTTGTGGATATTCTTTCAACTTTGTTGCTGGTTCAGCTTCCATCAAGAAAGTTGCTGAAACTGCCAAGCATCTAGGCGCCGCTGGTTTCGTTCTTGTTGTCGAAAATGTTTCTCCAGGAACAAAATTCGATCCTGTTCCTTCTTGCATTCCTGGGATTCTGATTACAGATGTCTCTAAGTCAATGGTAATACAGTTTCGTTGTGTTCACTAGATATTTCCTCCTTCATCTTTTCCTCGACTTTGAATGCCCTTTTTTCTTCCCTAGGATTTGATTGATTATTACAATGTCACAACATCAAGAGACTGGATGGGAAGGGTAAAGGACTTTAAAGCTGAAGGAAGCATCGGGGACGGTTTGGAACCTATTCTTCACAAATCCGCACCTGAAGTTGCTCTGTTCTCGGCTCGAGGACCCAACACCAAAGATTTCAGCTTTCAAGATGCTGATCTCCTCAAACCAGATATTCTTGCTCCAGGCTCTTTGATATGGTCTGCTTGGTCTGAAAATGGGACAGACGAGGCTAACTATATCGGTAAGCATTTCCAAAAATCGTGTCAGAATTATCCACAAGTACTCTGGAGAAAGAACCTAAATGTTTAGTTCTTGACTATTGAGCAGGCGAAGGATTTGCACTAATTTCTGGCACAAGCATGGCTGCACCACACATTGCGGGCATAGCTGCTCTTGTGAAACAGAAGCATCCTCAATGGAGTCCAGCTGCCATCAAATCAGCTTTGATGACGACTTCAACAGTCATAGATCGAGCAGGAAGGCCTCTCCAAGCACAGCAATATTCTGAAACAGAGACAGTAACACTTGTTAAAGCCACTCCTTTTGATTATGGAAGTGGTCATGTCAACCCAAGCGCTGCTCTAGACCCTGGTCTCATCTTTGATGCAGGTAAATACTCTTACTCCATTGACATACCTCCGTTTTCTTTATTCCCTCTTCGATCTCTCTGGTCACTAAGACACTCATTTGTTTTATTCGGTTTATTGAATTTTCTTGAAGGTTATGAGGACTATATAGGGTTCTTGTGCACCACGCCGGGTATTGATGCTCATGAGATAACAAACTTCACAAACACTCCATGCAATTTCAAAATGGTTCATCCTTCAAACTTCAACACGCCATCCATAGCCATCTCTCATCTCGTGAGAACACAAACCGTGACGAGAAGAGTGACGAATGTAGCAGATGAGGAAGAAACATACACAATCACATCGAGGATGGAGCCAGCGATTGCCATCGAAGTGAGTCCTCCTGCAATGACAGTAAGAGCAGGCGCCTCTAGAACCTTCTCGGTGACTCTAACAGTGAGATCAGTGACCGGAGCTTATAGCTTCGGAGAGGTTACATTGAAAGGAAGCCGAGGACATAAAGTGACTCTCCCTGTGGTTGCTATGGGACAAAGGCGATGAAGAAACAAATATGAGATTTTGTAACATTATTATTGTTACTCTTTTTGTAATATGCAGTAATAATAAGAAGGTAGTTATGTCGTCCTGAGTAAAAAAGAATAATACAGTTTGTATAATTAGTTTATTTTTCTTTCTTTCTTTTTTAAACTCTATTTTAAAAGATTATAGTAATATGATTAAATGATATACATATATATGCGTTAGCTTTGTTAATTACTAATTTCATAACATAACATAACATATGTTTTTTAAAAAAAAACCTCTGCTTTAGCTCTGTTATTACTCTAACCCACCAATCTTTCTTGTTTTTTCCTAAAGATTTTTTTTGGAAAAAGTGATTTAAACGTTCTTTGCATTGTTCTCACTTTTTTTAATTATAATCTTGAACTTATTTACATGTAAAGAAAAAGAAAAATTCTTATAAAAACATTGAAATGTTAAGAATCAAGAATCTCACAATCAGTCCTCTGGAAATAAACCTTCATGGTTCGAAGATCATAACCAACATTATAATTCTGCTGAGCCATGGCACCAATAACGCTCATATCATCAAACGCGTTCATAGTCATAGCCAAGCAAAATCTATCTCCACTTTCACTGCTAACGAACAAACTCTCAACGTCTAGTGCCAGTTCAGCGCCGCCGGCGAAATGGAACGTGACGATGGGAAAGCCGTAGAGATCAAGTTTGAGATTCCCTTCGTAGCAAGGGTTCGTGTATTGCTCCCAACCTTTAACGCGCCTAAGAACTTCTCCTAGAAGAAAATCAATTTCTTCAGAGAGAGTTTCGTAAGCTTCTCTGGCTAGAATCGTTTGTGAACAGCCCGTGTCGATGACCGTGCCTCCTTGGGACCGATATCTCTGGAAAATTCCGGGTTCGATATCGAGAAGTTTCTCTCCTAAAGAGATCGCTTGCAGGTCAAGGTAGTAACGGTCTTGGAATATTTGTAAAGGCGTTGGATCGCCTTCGATTTTGGCGCCATTTCCGAGGATTAGATTGTTGTGAGGGTAAGTAGGATCGGTTACGCTGCCGAAGCAGTACGAGAATTTAGAGCCGAAATTGCGGGTTACTATAGAGAATGTACCAGGACCTAAACCTAGCACGCCGCTGTATTGAGTGAAACCGGAGTTGTCTTGTCCACAGCCGAAAACAATGTTTGGTTTAGAGATTAAACCGTCGTCAGATGTTTGAAATGTGAGTTTTTCTTCAGCTAAAACGCCTCTGGTGTTAGAAAAGTCGCGGTAGCGTAGGTGATATCGGCAGTTTCCAGTCTTTTCGTCGCGAAAGATTTGAGGCATGGCATGTGGTGCGGATTCACAAGAAGCGTTACGGTAAGTGGAAGATCTTGAAGGGTGAAAAAAGGGGATTGTTTGGGGGTAACATTTGCAGGGGAGACATTGGATCCAAGTTAGGTCACTACCTGTGTCTATGAGTAAGAGTTGCGGGACCGGTGGATCGCCGATAGAAATATTTGCAAGGAATGCTGCTGGATTCGGAAATGGAGTGACATGTGAGACGATATCCGCTATTTCCGTGGTCCACAAGTTATCTAAGCGAGAAGGGACGGGGGTTGACTTGGAATGCAAGTACCCAGCTTTTATTTTTGGTGATTTTTGGGTTTTGATTGATTTTGTGTGTAGCCTTAGCGTAAGTCGATGCGAGGTGCATTGCTTTGGGCACGTGAGGGCGAATAGAATGATAAGAAGTGCGGGACGAATACGTAATGTTAGAGAGATGGCCATTTGATAATCAAGAATGTGGTTTTTCTTCCAATCCTTATAATATGAGTCGAAAGAACAATGACATTGACTCTTTGTGTGAACTTTTTTTTCGTATGGAACATGATTAATTGAATTTACTAACATAACTTCAACATACCAATCTGATTATATTCTAGGAAAAAAGATTATGTTCATGTATCTCACGTGTTTAGTCTTAGATTCAAATATGTTTTCAACAAAAAGAGTACCACGATCATATATGTATCAACTATCAACTTTTCTTGTTTTCTTAATAATCAACGTATCACGGTCATGGATATCACATAGTAAACAAACAATTCTTGCCATCAGTTCCTCTTTAAACCTCAACACTTCATGCTCAACTAAGAGAAAGTAAAGATTCCTTTGCACCTAAAACTCTTAAAAGGAAAATATTTATTTATTTGCATCTTCTTTGACTGTTCTTTTGTTATTAATTCTTTGTTTCACACTTATCAACACACTCCTCGTTACATATATATGCAATGCTTTATGTAAAGTGCTTCATATATAAATTTTAAAAAATGGCTATTCACGTTACACCTCTCGTCTATCTCATCATCCTCAGTTTCTCTATCTCTGTAGTTCTTTTGTCAGCATCCCCAACTCTTGTTCTCAATCTTATTCATCCCCACCAAATTTCTTCCATAAAACCTTCACATGTCTACCTTATTGAGGAAGCGTCTACTGCACGTCTAGACTACTTGCAAGCTAAAGCAACCGGAGATATCATTGCACACATTTCCCCTCTACCAACAGCTTTCTTGGTAAACATTTCAATAGGGAGTCCACCAGTCATGCAGCTTCTCCATATGGACACGGGAAGCGATCTTACGTGGCTGCAATGCCATCCGTGCACCAACTGTTATCCCCAGAGCATGCCCATCTTTAACCCTTCAAGATCTTACACTTACGAACAAGAATTTTGCAAAACCTCAGAATACTCTATGCCTAGCTTACGATTCAATCCAACAACCAGATCATGCGACTACTCCATGAAATACATGGATAAGACAGGGAGCAGAGGCACACTAGCTAAAGAAACGCTGTGGTTTAATACCATTTATGGTGAGTTTTCCTCAGCTTCTTTAGCTGACGTTGTTTTTGGCTGTGGCCATGATAACTATGGTAAACCGCAACAAGGAACCGGTGTCCTCGGTTTAGGATATGAGAAATTTTCGTTGGTGCACAAGTTCGGTTCAAAATTCTCATACTGCTTTGGAAGCTTAGATGATCCTTCTTACCCACATAACGTCTTAGTCCTGGGAGATGATGGTGCAAACATTTTGGGAGATACGACACCGTTAGAGACCTATCGTGGTTTATATTACGTTAAAGTCAAAGCGATCAGCGTAGACGGGATCATTCTTCCGATTGATCCGTTGCTATTCCAACGTAATTCCCAAAACGGTTCAGGCGGCACAATACTCGACACTGGAACAACATTGATCAATCTGGTCAAGGAAGTGTATGAGCATTTAAAAAACAGAATTGAAGATGTTTTTGGCGGGAGGTTTACCAAGGCAGACATGCCTAATTCCGTGAAGAATAAAGTACTGGAATGCTACAATGGAGATTTTGAGCGAGATCTAGTCGAGTCCGGATTCCCGATTGTAACGTTTCATTTCTCAAATGGAGCAGAGTTGTCGTTAGATGCGAAGAGTTTGTTTATGAAGCTTACACCAAATCTTTTCTGCTTAACCATTTCCCCGAGCATTGGTGGTCATCTGAACGTCATAGGTACGATGGCTCAACAAAGTTATAACATAGGGTATGATTTCAAAGCAATGGAGGTTTCTTTTGAGAGAATTGATTGTGGTGTCCTCTTTGATTACTGATTACAATTAGTATCATCTATGTTCAGATCATGCCAAATCTTATATGTATATATATTCAATAATTCCACTTTCAACACGAGGATTCTTGATTGTGTGAAAAATAATATAATGTTATTAGTTGTTATAAGTTTTCATTGTTTCTGTGTTGTCACCATCTACTCATCCCAAAGGAAACTAGCGACAGATTAGATTCTTTGTTTTTGGTTTAAAATGCATATATCTACTCAATAGTTACCTATGAACCTTTATTATGAATTAAGATACACAATATAAGATTTTTAGTGAAGAAAAACAAAATCCCATCATCATGAACAACACGATTGTTCAAATAAATTAGAATTAGAAGTAAAAAGCTTAATTGGAACAATGTTGAATTAATAATCCAGCAAAACAATAACAAAACTATCTCAAGTATAAGACATACTTTGAAAACCTAGCAGAACATATTCTGCTTGCGATGCAAAATAAAACCCTAAAAGATAAATGGCTAATCAAAAAAGATAAACCAAAAAGAAACAAAAGGAAATCAATCCTCCATAGCCAATCGGTGCCGTATATGTTTAGACGCTTGGTATGCAAGTAACCATAGTATGCTGATTTGGCATTCTTGTTGATTAGGTCACCAAAGTATATCAATTTTGCATTCTTCTTGATTAGGTCACTAAAATATGACGATTTGGGATTCTCGTCGATTGGGTCATATTCCTTAATCTGGTTATGATTTGTAACTATTTCGATAGGTTCATCAATTAATAGTATCCCACCTATGCGAGCCTGTGAAGTTCCGACAAAAAGCAAGACGAGAAAGACGATGAAGAAGAAGCTGATTTTTCCCAATCGAGTGAACATTTTCGAAGGTAAGGCTATAGTTAGGGTTTGTTTTTCTGAGATAGAGATCACATGGGTACCTTTTTTTTAATTTATATGTGTGTTGTAATTTCCTTTTACTACTATGATAAAGTATAAAACTATTTATTTACTATACAATATTTTGGTTCGGGATTGTATTCGGAAGTATTTACCATATATACTCAATTGTGTAAATGGGCTGGACCCACAAAGTTCACCCACCGGCCACCGTTGATTAGATCCCCTGAACCTTCATGAAAACCAAGTCAAGTCAAACCAAGTTAAAAATTAGGTTATGATGATAAAAACGCTCTGACCAAAATTGTCACGCAAGGAATTGGCTAAAAAAGCATTTTTGAAACTCACAGCTTTCCCCATTTCTTTCGGATACCAACATATATCTTCAAACACAATTTAATTTAACAAAAAGAGGAATACGCTCATGGATCTCATGTGTTTAGTCTTGATTCCATAATTTAATCAACGCTTGCACGATCATGGATATTGACTCTTTGTGTGAAATTCTTATTCGTAGGGAAGGTTTCTGTTCTTGCATGATTCAATATTTTAGGCAAAATGATTACGTTCATGAATTTCACGTGTTTAGTCTTAGATTCAAATATGTTTTCAACAAAAAGAGTACCACGATTATGTATTAACTTTTTTTGTCTTTTGTTTTCTTTACTTTCAAAGAATAATAAAATCACGATCATGGATATCAAATAGGTGTTTTCAGTAGACTAAAAAAACAATCTTTGCCAAAGATTCTCTTCACACCTCAACACTTCATGTTCAGCTAAGAAAATGTCAAGATCCTTTTGTACCTAAAACTCTAAAAGGAATATGTTATTGCATCTTCTTTAAGCGTTTTTTGTGCTATAGTTTTTTTTTGTTTCGTACTTATTAACACTTTCTTCGTTACTCATATAGTCAATGCATATGTTAAAGGGTTTCAAATAAACCAAAGATGGCGATTTTCTTTACATCTCCCCTCGTCTGTCTCATCATCCTCTATTTCTCTATCTCCATACTTCTATTGTCAGCATCACCAACCCTTGTTCTCAATCTTGTTCACTCCCACCAAATATATTCCCTAGAACCACCACGTGTCTCTCATATCAAGGAAGCGTCTGTTGAACGTCTAGACTACTTGAAAGCCAAGACAACGGGAGATATCATCGCACACCTTTCCCCTAACGTCCCTATCATCCCACAAGCTTTCTTAGTGAACATATCAATAGGTAGCCCACCAGTCACGCAACTTCTCCACATGGACACGGGTAGTGATCTTCTATGGCTACAATGTCGTCCTTGCATCAATTGCTATGCTCAAAGTCTTCCTATTTTCGATCCTTCTAGATCTTATACTCATCGCAATGAATCTTGTAGAACCTCTGAATACTCTATGCCTAGCTTAAGATTCAATGCAAAAACCAGATCTTGCGAGTATTCCATGAGATACATGGATGGTACAGGGAGCAAAGGCATACTAGCTAGAGAAATGCTGATGTTTAATACAATCTACGATGAGTCTTCATCAGCTGCTTTACATGATGTTGTTTTCGGTTGTGGCCATTATAACTATGGTGACCCTCTAGTTGGAACCGGCATTCTCGGTTTAGGATATGGTGAATTCTCGTTGGTTCATAGATTTGGTACAAAATTCTCATACTGCTTCGGAAGCTTAGATGATCCTTCTTATCCCCATAATGTCTTAGTCTTGGGAGATGATGGTGCCAACATTTTGGGAGATACCACACCGTTAGAGATCTACAATGGTTTTTATTACGTTACAATCGAAGCGATCAGCGTGGATGGAATAATTCTCCCCATTGATCCATCGGTATTCAACCGTAATCACCAAACTGGTTTAGGCGGTACAATAATCGACACAGGAAATTCATTAACAAGCCTAGTCGAAGAAGCATACAAGCCACTGAAGAACAAAATTGAAGAGGTTTTTGAAGGAAGGTTTACTGCCGCGGATGTGAATCAAGATGACATGTTTAAAGTGGAGTGCTACAATGGAAACTTAGAGCGAGATTTGGTCGAGTCCGGATTCCCGAGTGTAACGTTTCATTTCTCAGATGGAGCAGAGTTGTCATTGGATGTGAAAAGTGTGTTCATGAAGCTTTCACCAAATGTTTTCTGCTTAGCCGTGACCCCTGGTAATATAAACAGCATTGGTGCAACGGCTCAACAGAGCTATAACATAGGGTATGATCTCGAAGCAAAGAAGATCTCTTTTGAGAGAATTGATTGTGGTGTCCTCTTTGATTACTGATTATAAATTAATATCATCGATCTGTTCAATTAATTATTTGTTTAAATCACGAAAATATCTTGCAAAATCTTATAGATTTAATTTTTCATAACTGTCAATATATATCTACAATAAAGATTCTTGATTGCGTAAAAATAAGATACATTTGTTAGTAGTTACATTTTCATTGTGAGTTGTTGTAAAATAGGGTTTATTTTTTTTTCTGTTAAGCAATGAATGCAGATCTCAAGAACACACATAGTTGGGATATACAAAGTACGATTTTACCAAAGAAAAAAATCGCATTACTTGGACATGAGTACGATAGTTTCAAAGAAATAATGTAGCACGAATCATTAGTAAAAATGCTTGGAACAACGTTGAATGAATAATCCAACAAAACAATAACAAACGATCTCAAGTATCATATAGATTTGAGAACTTAGCAGAACATCTGCTTGCGATGCAAAAGAAAACCCTAAAGGATAAATCTGTAACAAACAAAGATAAACAAAGAAGAAGGAAAAGGACATCAATCCTCCATAGCCATTCGGTTCCGAATGTGTTTAGACGCTTAGTATGCAAGTAAGCATGGTATGCAGATTTGGCATTCTCACTGATTAGGTCAACATAATATGCTGCTGATTTGGTATTCTCGTCGGTTGGGTCGACATATTCTTCAATTTGGTTATGATTTATTTGGATTTTATCAGCAGTGATGAGAGGGTAAAGATAGCGAGCCTTTGAAGCTCCCACAAAAAGCAAGACGAGGAAGGCAATGATGAAGAAGAAGCTGAGTTTTCCCAATCGAGTGGACATTGTTGGCGATAAGGTTAATTAGGGCTTCGTTTTGTTTATTTATATTGTGTTGTAATTTTATTTTCTTGTTAGGAAAAATATTAGATTTCATATGGAAGATATGACAATTTGTGGCAATATATAGACTTATTTACAAATTTAAAAACAATATCACAAAATGTTGGTTTGGTTCATATATATTCCTCAATTTGGTCATGATTAATTTGGAATTGTTCACCAATGATGATGAGTGGCCAAAGATTGCGAGCCTCAACGAAGCAAGACGATGAAGAAGCTGATTTTTTCCCAATCGAAAAATTGTTGGAGTCTTGGAGCAACATTGATTTGAATAATCCAACAAGAAAATAACAATCTCGAGTCTTATACATATTTTGAAAACCTAGCAGAAAATTTGCTTGAGATGCAAAAGAAAGCTCTAAATAATAAATGGCTAATCAAAAAAGATAAACCAAAAAGAAACAAAAGAAAATCAATCCTCCATAGCCAATCGGTGCCGTATATGTTTAGACGCTTGGTATGCAAGTAACCATAGTATGCGGATTTGGCCTTCTCTTTGATTAGGTAACCAAAGTATGCTGGTTTTGATTTCTTCTTGATAAGGGCAGCATAATGTGCCGCTCTGAAATTCTCGATGCCTGCAGGTGGCCATCGATTGAGAGCCTCTGAAGATCCCACGAAAAGTAAGACGAGGAAGACGATGAAGAAAAAACTGATATTTCTCAATTGAGAGGACATTGCTGGAGATAGGGCTTTTTAGTATGTCTTCTGACTTCTGAGACAGATATCATCATCACATTGGTGCGTGTTTTTATTTATAATCAAATATTTGTAATTTCTTTTTTCTATTAGGAAATCTATTTATGAAAATTACATATGTAATATTAGAATAAGGAATGAGCAAAGTAATAAAATATGATACTACTAATTACTATATTGTTAATAATAAAAAATATATCAAGAAGTTTGTAGCACTTGATAGAGTTCTTTAATTACATCAACGTCAAACACAATGTTTAGTCTGTCTGAATAATTTTTAGGATGTTTGTGGTCAAAAACCAAAGAACATATAAATGTGCAAAGAAACTCTATAAACCTGTATAATTTGTTTGTTTAACATTCTGAACACACAACAAAATCGATCCAAAAAAGAAAAAAAAAAAAACCGTCTAAAATTCTCCTTTTCACAACAGTAACGTAAAAATGAGATATAGCCAAAAAAACAGAGTAGAGAAAAAACCAACGTCTCCTTCCAAACAAATGAAGCCTAAACTGAGAATAAATCTTAAAGCTTCAAAGATGATTTTGATTCATATGAGTGGGGAAGACGAACATTGGTCAAAGAATCTGAGTGTATAGAAGAAAAATACCCTTTTAATCACAAATTCCAAGTGACTGATGTTGTGTAATTTGAGAAGAGATCCAACAGTTTATCGAGTGTATCCGGGTGAAATTTCCTTCCAAACAAGTAGCACGGTCTTTTGATTCCGTTCCACATACAAGGCATCCATATTTCTTCACCCTGTTGTTAGCCAAAGGGAAATGTGTTGTTTTATATAAAATCTTGAAAAAAGATCAGAGCTAAGAAATGGTTTCGAAAGCGCGTACCATCCCAACACTTGTGACATGTACGAGTGTGTCAGTAGACTGCAGAGAGATAGATCATTGGTTTAGTTTTCTTAGTTGAAGCAATGGAAGAAACTGATGCAAACGATATGGTTTAGTGTTTGGTTATATATTAATATACCGTGAGGTTGTTTAGTAAATCGGGTGTGATATCCTCAGGCATATAAGTTTTTGGATGCCACTTTCTCTCAGACCAATCAACTTGTGTTACAGTCCAGTTAGAAATACCACCGGGATCGAGCATCTGCAACCGAAATATATAAGAATGAAGATAAAAAAATGCAGAGATTTTTTTCATTTCTTCTTGAGTTGAAAAGAGTTCTTACATGAAAGAATGTTGGCAGATAGTGTTCATCAGCTATGCAGTTCTTGTTGTTCTCTATACCTGGCTGAAGAAACAAAATGCAGGCTTTTACTGGATGATTTATTTCAATAAATGTTATGCCTTTGTAAGAAAGAAAAAAGGAAGGTAGATAACATCTAGTTTAGGAGTTTTGCTGATACTCACCCCGCAGTAATCCCGAAATTTAGAGTAGTAAAGACTATCTGCCATAGTTGCTACAGCGTGCTGTCGCTTCATGGTGAACCACTGCATGAAGGAGTAATTTGGGGTTCATATGTAAATTTCGATTTATAAAATGGCAGACATTTGTTGGTCTATTACTAGTTCCTAAAGGATTTACTTGAGACTTCTGCCATGTAAATTGATACCAACACTGAAACAGAGCCAATTTTCCTAAGTGAGCATAATTACTAGATCAATGAAAATTGTTTACCTGTGCACCCTTTCGAAAATCCTTCTTTGGGATTTCAGGCAACATGTGATTCATATGCCTGCCTGCTCCATGTTGACCTGGGTCGTCAAAGCTGAAGAGTCGAAGGTAAATCAATTTGTAAGAGTTAAAGAAAGGTGGGAAGAAGAGTGAAAAGGTCTAATCTGATGAAACATGACTATTACCAGTCAACATAGCTGAGATTGCTGTGCATCAGGTAATTGTAAATGTATTCAAAACTTCGAAGTGGTACACAACTGCAAACCCAGAAACACTCAAAATGTTTTAGGAAAATTTAGAGTGATCAATGAGAAAGCAAGAAATCAAGAAAATCACCTATCAGAGAGTAAAACAAATTGCTGGTTTGAAGTGTCTCTGAGAGCATTAGCTAACAACCGTCTCTCTGCGTCAACCATTGATATCCTTCCCCACACCACCTGCAGATGAAAATTAATACACATTTTTCTTTCAAGTTAGTGGATGGTAGAAGAATATGAAATCTTCAAAAATAGGCATCAGAGAAGGAGACAAACCTCATCACTACGAATTTCGCGGTTGACAAAGTAACGACTGTAGTGAACTGGCGTTTCCTTTGATGCATGTATATAAACAGAGAATTTCCCTTCATGGCCCTGTTAAGAATGACAAAAATCTAAAAACATCAGCCAAGGAATGAAGTTCAAGAACAAACTTTGTTGCAAGTTCTATAAGGAGGCCTATTCAAGTAAAATGCTGCTGGCTCCAAATTGGAAACTTCCTTAAACAAAGGCACATTTCAGAAGAATAAAGCAAGTCATAAGAAGAAAAGTTTACCTGGAAAAATCTGTCCCAAAGCCTCTCAAAAGGCAATGTACCAGGAGTTAAAAACATGAATGCAATTTTAGAGTTCTTTCTAATAACAGGAGGTGAACTCAATATTTCTCTAATGACTACGCGAGCTGCAATCTCATCATCTGAATATTCCCTCAGAGAAGGTGGAAGCCAATCAGCTAAAGCTTTGCATCCTCTTGACGAAATCATATAACAAGCACGTTTACTATGATGAGGGTACATGTAAGCCGTAATAAAGAACATGGTGATCAGTGAAAGCACCATGATGATCCATACTCGTCGTCTTGCGGGAGGAGCACGGTGTCGAGCTCCAGGAAAAGACACGGGAATATCTCCTAAGTTCCCTATACTCCATCTTTTAACTGCCTTCATCTCATCAAAACCTTTATTTGCAAAGCCACAACAACACCTCAATAGCCTAATCTAGATGAACAAAAGCTAACTTCCTCTGGTGAATTAGAATCAATCAAAACCTGGAAAAAGTTACAGAAATAGAAACAAGAATGAATGTTCAATCCAAGAATGAAATTTTGAATTCATTTAAGATTTAGTCCAACAACTAAATTCTAGCTCTCCACGAAACCGAGGAAAAGTCAAACCAGCTTCACAGGTCCTAAAGCCAATTCGATAGAAACGTTACAGTGTTTCCACGCAATTATTGTAGTCAACGATTTCAACGAATGCTTCACGAGAGAAATGCTTTGAGGGATTTTAAACCATTTCCTCGGAAAATCATCAGATTTCCCGGAAAATACCAGAGCAGAACGAGATCAAACGAAGCGAAATCGAGACATTCGAGCTCCGTTCAATTTCAATTTACATTATCGGAAACGCATTCCGATCTCTTCCTAACTAATCGCATTCGCATCGCCCAAACAAAACAAAATTCCAAAATCGAAATCAACGAGAAACAATGTGAAAGAATTTAGAACCTGAAATTTACAACGGAACCAGATCCAAGCACAACGCAAGAGAGTCTCCCGAATCGTCGTGTTGCTAGATTTCTATATCTCTTCGTTTTCCCTCTGGTCAAAGATCTCGGGAAAATTCAAACTCTCAAAGAGCTATAGGTACACAAAACAAACGTTTATCTATGTGCATGTATAACGTCTCTTTGTCAGTTTTAAGATTTTCCTTCTGTTATATTTTTCCTCTCACGGATTCGTTTCGTTTTTCTCTCTCGCTATGAAATTGAAGAAATGCTTGTGAAAGAGCTACAGATATATCGATGACGATGAAGATGATGAAGAAGAAGACGAAGATGCCAATTGGGTTCGAAACAGAGGAAGCAAATTTTTTGAGGCAGAGATTAATATTACATTGGCGGATTATTTATATATATATATATGAAACTTATTAAACCTTATGATATGACGTGTAATTTTTCTACTGGCCAGAGTAAGAGCGCGTGTCTTTCTTTTCCCATAACAAGGTTAAGTAAATTAACAACGGTTATGAAAATAACAGTACAGTAAAATTTGATATTAAGATAATTTAATAGTTTAATCATGTTTTTGAGTAACAATGTATTTATGGTGTGGATTTAAATGTGTTTAGATTTGTTATGACTTATGAGTGTAATAATAATTAAAATATGCTATAAAAAAACTTTAGATTAAAATCTGCATCTACCAAGTAGCACGTTTATAAAAACTATCTCATCCCATGCAATGTCCTCCTGGCCTACCTTGGATTTATTTGGTTGGATATAATTTATTAATATGGTCCGTTGAATCTGAGAGACTGAGACCAGCTCTCAAAAGACGATTTTACCCTTTTTTATTCTTTTAAGTTTAACGAAGTCATCAAGTCGTTGGCCAAGTTTAGTCTTCGTCGAGGAAGTAGTCCTCGTATCATTGATTTATTTGATCTGTAAATATAAATAAACATATTAAGTTCCATATATTAGCATTCTTATATATAATAAAAAGAAGAAGTAAACCATAATAATTATAAAGAAATCTATTTGGAAATGGAAGGAATATAAGAAAAACTATTGAAATGAAAAACAAAAATTAGGCTATTTGGCCCTATCGATCAAAATTAAGTATCTACGTTTAGATCATATAGATAAGTATATATTATATATAGACAATTTCAAAATTTGTGTAAGACTTGTTGGTTTGAAAATTAGTTCTAACTTTTGCATAAGAGACCCAGTTGATGATCCTAATGTATCTATATACTTGAATAGTTTTGTAGGCATAATTCATCCACTTGGATCACTATGTGTGTTATTTTAATGTCGATAGTTGGAGGAACCTTCTCCGCCAGACCGATATAAGATAGTAAACTCTGGTTTTATGTATATTATAATGAAAATTGAGCAACTTGACATAAATTTCATGTGATCTTAGCCAGACATTCACGATGTCCACATCATTATTCTATTGTTCAAACAAATGATCAACGTTGTCTGAGTCCATGCATTTTGCATGCACCTCACTTCCTTTAATTTACCCCTAATTAAGTATATTTCCCTTCGCGCTAATAATTGAGTTTGCAGTTGCTAGAAGCCTAGAAGTCTAGAACAAACTTTCGATTTTAATTACTAGTTAGAACCACTAAAAAAACTAGTACAAGTTGTCACTGATGGTTTACCTTTCTCTTGGTTAAAAGTAAAAAAGGTTCGATGTATATATATATTTACCAAAAAATGGTCGTTTTATATCGAACAAAAAATAATACAGTTATGTTTAGAGACTTTTTTTTTTTTGTTTCCGATTAAGTTAAAAGTGTACTGCTGGGCCAACTCAACTATTGAATGGACATCTTTTTCATAAAAAAAAAAAAAAACCATTGAATGGACATGTAGACCAAGTCAGTTTGTAACTTTGTATTAATATTTCAATCTCTCTAGAGATTTTGTTGATTAATCGTTATTCAAGATGTTTTTCTTTTTTCAAAATTACTCCTTTACCTTACATAAACTAAATCAAAAGTAGAAGAAAATTACTTACATATGTAGATTGACTTATGTCATTTATGTAGAATAATAAAGTCATGAAGTATTAAATTAAATTAAATTAGTTGACACAAAAGTATTAAATTAAATCAAGAGGAAAAGAAAATGAGTAGAAATGACCATAAATAATAATTGAGCCTTTAATTTGAAGATAAGGGTGTTGAAAAAAAAACTAAGAAAAAGTGAAAAACAAATACTATTCTATTATTATATATCTACAGTCTAGATTAAAGTTCAATGAAAGTTGTTTTTGAGATTTCACTTTAAGCAGAGTAAATTATTGAATTTTTTTTTGTTTTGTGTCTTTCTTATTCGAATATCAAAGTCCATAAAGAAAACATAACCAAATGTAACATATTTAAATTTTGGGAAACACTGGAAAGTTACTTTTTAATAAATTAAATGATTATTAAAATTAAAAGCTGAGTCATTACTTACAATATATATATATATATATATATATATATATATATATACAATAGATGTCGATATACATATAATTATCTCAAACAAAACGACTTGTGAAATAAAGAAAAAAATATGGAGAAGGCATCTTCACTTATAGTTTTATTCATCTTCTTTACCATCCTTGCTTACGGTATTATATATTTCTTTAATCTTAAGTAACTAGCTTGTGATTGATTTGAGTGGTTGCTCTATTTATCTTTTTTTTTTTGCATTTATGTTGTAGTTACTATTCGTGTTCAAAGCTTATATGCAGTTACAAAGGTTATTAATATGTATACACATTTATATATAGGTGCGAATGAGGTGATGGCAAATATTTGTCAGGAATCTCTAGGTGGTTGTGATCAATGTAATGAGAGATGCAAGGCTAAGCGCGGACCGAAGTCAGAAGGTGATTGTCAAAGCTGGATATATAACTTATGCATGTGCAATTACCAATGTGGACCGCCGCCGCCACCACCAGAACCCAAAGTTTGCTACGGCGGGGCTGGCATGTGCAGCCAAAAATGTTCGAACGATTGTTGCAACCAAATTTGTGCAAATAAGTATTCGCGTGGAAATGGATTTTGTGAGAAGATTGGCTCTATTAATCTATGCAAATGTCAATATCCTTGCTAGAACTGTAAAACTTGGTCAAAAAATTTAAAGTAAAATATGGTAAAATATTTTTGAAAGAAAAATGAACTTAGATGTAATAATTAGATTATTATTATCGTTATGAAAAATAAATAGATTATTATTAATTAGTTTTTTGGTAACCAAGAATTCCGTCCTAAGCCAGTGTAATCTCTTTGGAATGAATGACCATGTAATTTCCTCAAATTACTCAAACATGTATGGTAAAAATGTGGCTTCTACTTTTGTTAATTGTGATATTCAAAAACGTTAGGACAGTATATTACAATATGATTCGAAGACAACAAACCCCATTTTTAGACTGATGGCCCGAAAGTATATTTACTGCCCACAATCTTGGCGACAAAAATTATAACAGAAAATTCAAAGTTCTAGTAATAAATGATAACCCATAATAAAGTAAGTTTTTTTACTTAAATGTTTTAAGTAACCGTTGATCTTAAAATATTTTTTGTTGACCATATAGCATTTGTTTCCATAAAAATTGATACGATAGCCATAAAAGGAAATCTATGATTTCGTAAGTTTAAAAGGTCTTCTTTGGTGAAAAAAAAAAAAAAAATGATTTCGTAAGTTTGGAAAACGAGAGCACTGATTAAGCGTCCATAAATGTGTTATTAAGATTTTTTTCATATCAATTTCAAAATCAGTGCTCTCGCTTACGAAATCGTATCTTTCAGTTTTATTTTGAAATCTTCGGTTCGTCTATATATAGATCAACTAAAATATCCTAGTAACATATTAACAACTATCTCAAAGGCAAAACTTAAGAGAACAAAAAAAACCACACGTTAAGATATGGAGAGGAAAACTTTGCTTGCATTCTTCGTTAGCTTTCTTATTATGTGTGCTTCAGGTTCAGGTATAATATGATACTATAACTTTAAAATATTTTATTTATTTTACTTATTAATAATTGAATTTTTGATGAAATTAAATTATATTGTATATCAGTTGTGGATCAGACGAACGCAAATACGAACAAACTTTGCGAAGGTGGGGCTGGTCTATGCACTCCAGCATGTGCGGAGAGTTGTTGTGACTTCAACTGCATCAAGAAGTATAATGGTGGACATGGAAGTTGTACTTCTGTTGGTAACATTCGTCTGTGCCAATGCGAATATTCTTGCTAGAGTCGCTTATTAATGGTTTTGGCCTTTTGGGACACTAAACCAGCTAGTTTTTTTTTTTTATAATAATAATTGTTTTGATAACCTTAAAATGAAACAAGATTAGAAAATGTGTTTTGTGACTTATGTGGAGTTGTCAGATTCTTTAAAATTGTGCATCTTTGAGCTTTCTAGTTCAATTCCTATTTGAACTCGTTAACTTTTAAAAGAAAAATTTAAACTGAATCGAATTGGTATAATTTTATAAAGAAAACCAAAGAGATAAAATTGGATATATGTTTCTTATATCATAAAATAACATTATAAGTAGAACGAGAATTTCGTAAACGTGGAAAAACTACTACCGAAATTTTCTCCAAACTAATTACAATTATAAAACTTATACTAAAAAATAATGAAGAGTAGCTTACTGCTTATCGAAAGGAAGCGTTGTGTGAAGGCACTTTTTCAGTATTATCGGTCTTTGCAAACAATTTTAACTTTATTATAAATTATTTAAATCATAAAGTACCCACAATCAAATTGTTTAATAAGTGCCAAATTTACAAAAGGAATTGAACCAAATATTAACCACACTCTACGTACTCCTTCCATGGATGTCCTAAGAAGAAATAAAAAGAGAGCTTCCTTGTTAAAACATGACATTAGCAAGAGCAAAAAGAGGACCAACGAGTAAAAAAGGTAATTTACATGTGTCATCAAATTTTACATGTCTAATAAACATGAATGGCTATCAGCTACTTAAAATTAAATAACGTTTGACCATAACTATTGTTTCCAATATGACAGTCAAATAATTTTTGTGATAAAAGTACAGTCAAATAATAATAAAAGAAAACCTTATCCGAAAAGTATAAATCACATTCACATACTCAAATA